AGCCACATATAGGAGAAGGTCATAAAAAAATCGAGTTATAGTAATATTCGAGTTATCGTACTTCGAGTTATAGCGAATTGACTGTATAATAAAAAAGTAAAACTATAATATAATAAAATATAATATAATAAAAAAGTAAAAATATATAATTTTCTGTTAAAATATATAAGATTTATCAAGTGAAAGAATAAATCAAATAAATGTATCAAATGAATAAATCAAGTGAAAGAATAAATTGCTGTTTTGTATAAATGGTTTATTTAAATTTTTGTACTTATAATTTTAGATAATGTTTGATAATTTTTGTACTCATTGGCTCCTATAAGGAACAATAAATACAAAAATTATCTATTAAAAATTATCAAGTAATTTTTGAAATAAACTATCTTTTAATCTTCCTAAAAATTGCATCTATAAAGTGTTCGTATTAAAATTAAATACTCTACAAGATTAAATGCTGATTTTTAAAATTTATTGGTAAAAATTAGTTTAAAAGATGTCACCTCTGTGATTGAAATCTATTAATTCTCCAAAAATGACGTTTGGGCAAAGTTACTTCCTTCTATATTTTATGTCTTGTTTAGTAATATTTTATTTTTCGGATTGAAATTGGCACTTTTTTAAATACCTACAATTAATCATTCGTTAATGTTTTGAAATATCAAAATATTTTGATTAGATTACATAATTTTTGTCCAATTTGTTACATTTTATTGAATTTCTTTTATTTTTTAATAATTGTTTATTTTAACTATTAATTTCTTAAAGTACAATTTCTTATTTCAGGCCACAGCCAGTTGGTCCACCCCCACTTTTCCCTGGAGGAAATATCTACAATAGCTGCTTGCAGTTAGCTAATTGCATTACAGAGTATCATATATTAATGCATCATCCCAGGTGTGAATTTTGAAAAATATGAAAAAAGAATAATGCCTTTTAGTTTAACATTGTTTTACCTAGTTCTGTAATATTTTAAGTCTTCAAATTTTTATAAACTATAAGAGATACCCTGAAATTGGAAAACTTCATTGATTATATTGCTTTTCTAAGGAATCAAAAAAATTATTGTTACTAATGAAGAATAGTTTACAAAATAAAAAATGATTGTTAACAATATTGTTATAATTATTTGAGAAAACTTAATTTTTCTTCAAAGATTTTTCACTTTATGAATATGTGCTCCATTTTAAGAAGGAATAGTTATTTAAAAATGTTTATTTCCTTATGAGAGGAACTTTTGTCTAGAATGGTATTCCAAATAAATTAATATTTCATCTTTAACTGAAGTAATATTTACTGTTTACAAGTAGGAATTTATAAAAAAATTTCTTCTTTCAGTATAATTTACATTTTGCTTATAATTATTGAATCGCAATTAAATCTGATAAAATTGAACAAGGTATTTGTTATAATAGGAATATATATACCATTATGCAAATGTTTTCGATTATTAACATCTCAACATCTACAGTGCTTATATTAATAAAGCTTCTATTAATTGATAGCTAATACTAATTTGATTGTAAATTCCTTACTCGTACTTTTCAAAATATCGTAGAACACTTTTAATTAACAGATCACTTTTACTTTCTTGTTGACTTGAATAGGAGGGGCAGCAATACCCTTTCTTCATATTCCAAAGAAATAAATATTTGTTTTCAAATGGTATATACTTTAATTTTTTTTAAAATTCATTGTTTTTAATCAAAAAGTATAGATTTTAAAAATGCTGATTGTTCATGATAAAAATCAAAGTTCAAAGCGCAATAATTTTCATCCACGAGACATAATTTTGTTTTGTATGCTTGAAATGTATAAGGTAAAAAATAAATAATTAAAATATTTAGGAAAAGTATTGAAAAAGTAAATGTTTAAAAATAATGTTGAAAAACTTTATATTTTGAATTAGCATAATTTACACTTAAATTTAAATGTTTTTTTTCTTTGGTGATATCAACAAAATAGTTCATAAAGAAAAAATAAGTAACTTAATGGTTGTGTAAAAAGTGTTAGTATTTTTTTTATCATCAGACTTATAATAAATTGTTATAAAGTTTCTTTTGGTGACTGATTTTTTTATATATATTTTTTTATAGCATTGAAGGGGCATTCAGCAGCTTTCAAATTATGCATAATCGAGTGAATACCCTGCATATCGATCAATTTCTTCCTCGAGCTAGAATGTAAGTTGACACTCCACTGTTATTTTATGCTAAAATATTCAGCAATTGTGAAAATATCGGCAAATAAAAAATATTTTGATTCTATCATTCAGAGTTCATATTCCCAAGCCCACCCTCCTGAAGGCATTTAAAATTATTTAAAAAATTTTTTTATTTTACCTACAAAATTATTAATTATCCAAGACAAATATATTATGTCATTGCACTTAATATAGCAATTTTAGGTTATGAAAAATCTTTTATTTTTATCCAAAATTTATTTATTATATCCTTTGAACTATTTTTTAAGATGCAATCATTAACAAAGATTTTGGATTTTTTTTTTTTAAGTAAAGATAAATTTATGTTTAAAGGCTTGTAAATGGTTAATGATAAACAGTTTGCTGTATGAAATTATTTAAAATGTTAGAAAATATTTAAACTGAAAAGTTTGGTTTCTGTAGTTATAACGCAATCTGCCAGTATATAGGAATAATAGTGATATTGATGAAATCCTTTTTAATTTTTTAAAAATTTATTTATTTTTTTATTAATTTTTTATAATATTATTTTCATATTTAACTGATGTTTTGTGTTTTTAAATCTTTTCATTATTTATTTAAAAAATAATAACACATAACATTACGTGTTATAATTTATTACATATATCATTCCAATGAATATGTAATTTCAATGTATTACTTTAAAAATGAAACCAAAGTTGTTTATATAACAAATTGCTAATATCTTGTATTGTATTATTTTGCATTTGATAACTGAATTACTGTAGAAATGTATCTAAACAAGCAATATATATGTTTCTTCTTGCTTTAAAAAACTTAATAATAATTATGAATAAAGCTAAATAATGTGAAAGATGCATAAATCATGCCACACAAACATACTACTGTTTTGGTTATATAATGGAGATCTTTCTTCAGTGTCAAAACACAGAATAAAAGAGAGTAACAGGGAGAATTACAAACCTGCTACCGCAAGGACCAAAAGGTTTTTTCTCTATCATTTATTCTAGTTTTGACATGAAAGAAAGTTTTTATTTTAGAACAAAAATTATCATACGACTGTTCATGTAGTAATGTTTGTTCTTTTTCCACGTTATTTAGATTTAATTGTATGTTGCATAAAATTAATCCTTTCTAATTCTGGTATTAATTAATTTTTTTATTCCTAGTTTGTTAATGAATATGGAAGCAATTAATGTTCAGCTTGAAAAAGAATTGGCAAAAATCTTCTACCCAAGCACAGTGAAAGAATTCTTGGTGGTGAACATCAATCCTTTTCTTGAAAAGCTTCGCAAACTTGTAAGAGATGCTGATCAGCAAATTATATTTCACTTACCACCAGAAGAAATGCAGTCAAATTCTAGTTGATGCCTTTTTCCAAGCATCTATATGTTATTGCAAAAGCCTGAAGTCTGGCAAATTCTAAGTTTTACTGATAAAATCTAGGATTTATCAAAATGGCTTGGTAACTTCTAGTTTTTACTGCAAAGGCTTCAGAGTGAAATGGAATCATATTAAAGCATACTTCTGACTTTTACCAAGCCAATTTGGTAAAAGTTAGGTTTTACCAGTAAAGCCTAAGAATTTCCAGAATCTGGGTTTTTACTGTAATATATACGAGTGGTATTGATAGCACCACTTGGTTTATTGTTACCCCGAGTGCTAATTAATGTTTTTAAAAAATTAACATTTATTTAAAAACAAATTTATTATTTGTAAATCTTCCTTTCTTAATTCTATGCAAATCTATTTATTGTTTTTAACTGAAAATAAAACATTGTCAATTTGTTAATAGCTGTTTTTTTTAATTGTGTTTTGAATTGGTTTTACTGGAAATTTCTTTGTATATTTTTAGTGTATTACCTTAATTTTTTTATCAATGATAAATAAATTTTTAAATTCTTCAATCAAGTTTTTATTCTAAAAAATAATATGCATGTTTTTTTTTTTCCTTTTGTAATTTAAACTTGACGTATATACTTTGAAACAAACTTTACATTACATGTTCAGGGCTAATTGTGCTCCGGAAAAGATCCGGGTTTCCGGAATTTTCGCTAACAGTGATCAGGAAGTTTCCGGAGATCGAAGGTCCAGACGTTTAAAAAAAATCATTGATCACAGAAGTTTCCGGAAATCAAATTTTTAAAGGTGGAACTTAAAAACACAGTTTATTTTATTTGTTTGTATGGGAGAGCCAGAGAGATACTTTATAAGCTTATATTCATGATTAATATAAATTTTTTATCAGTAAATAGTTGTTATAACTCAACATAAACTCAATAAAGAAAGACATATTTGTACATTTTAATTACTTCTCCTGGTCATCATCGGTATGTGTAAATGGTATAGGTATGTGTAAAATTTTAAATATATTTTAAGTAAACTAAGAAATATTGAGAAAACCTTGTTTAAATTTTTTTCCAATTTAAACTTTTTTTCTTCTTTTTTTTTAACTCAAGAAATTTTCCGGAATTTTGACTTGGGCTCACAATCACCCCTGCATGTTAATATTTTATTTCCAGAACTATAGTCTATATGTTTCTTGAAGTTAAGTATTACAACTTAGTTTTTATTTATTTATTTGTAACTTTAATTTTCTTTGGTGCAAAAAATTCAAGTATCTGGTTGAAATTTAAAAAAAAAATATGGCTTGTACCCTTTTAAATTAGTTTTCTGGGGGCCCTTATCAATTATAATTTGATTTGGTGGAAGGGAAAACAATAATTGTTACTCTAAACCTCTTCTTGGGGTCTGAGAGAAGAGAAATTCTAAAGTATGAATATTTGTAGCAAGGAAGGACATTTTAGGATATTTGCTTGCTCAAAATTGTAAAAGAAAAAGTTATTATTTTTTTTCATTTTACTTCACAATTTTTTAAACATATTTTCTACACGTCCTAGCCTATCTATTCCTTCTTAAAATCTTCTAAATAGTTTTAACTATTTAGCCAAGTTTTTGATTGAAAAAGGAAGGCTGGTGCCTAGACCTTTTCATATAAATAAAGCCTTATAAATTGATGAGACTAAGTACTATTTATTTGATATAATGCACCACTAATAATATATCTGACTAAAATCCTGTAAAGTTTGGCTCTACTTTTGTTAAATATTGTACTTCAACTATGTCACAGAAAAACACATTTTTATGATTCAATGAAAATGTTTGGTTAGATTTTGAAAATATTTATTCGCATTTGATGAAAAAAAATCTATCTACAATGATGTATGTTTAATAAGAAGAAATCTTGTTAGATAATGTAAAAACACCCTTTGCAAATATTCTAACAAAGGAAATGTGTATTTTTTTTTTTTTGTACTAAAAGCAAACAACTTTCAATATTTTTACAACTTTGAACTATCTAGAGTTTCTTCCTTAATAGTTGGCATTTTCATTTCATGCTTTGATTTATTTGTTACATGCAAAGTTTCGTACATAGTAATATTACTGCTGTCTTTATTATCTATATCCAGTTGCTCATCCAATTTATTAGATGCATCAGCTTCTAATAATCTTGGTGCCAGTAGAGAAATTGCTGTTGCTCCCAATGGTGCAAGTATAAAAATGGCAAGAACAGCTACTGTAAGAATCTAGAAAATAATTTGAAGTGATTTTAGCTAACTTTGTATTTGTAATAATATTTGAATAATGGTTTTCATATTTTGTAAATAAGCGTTTCTTACTACAATTCCGTATTCCACAAACTCTGGGCCTAGCTTAAGTCTTCTTGCCATTGCCAATGGTGTCGGGCCTATAGCAGCCTATAAATGCACAACTTAATAATAAACACAAGTATTTCATTAATGTGATTAATTTTTCACCAACAATGTAGTTTAGTTTTCATAATATGTTAATATAAAGGGTATTTATATTTGGATCTGAAGTCAAGCATAGTGCCTTTTTAAATCTAAAGTTGCAGGTAAACGAATGATTTATCCATGCATTATAAACAAATTAATTAATGCTATTAACATTTTACTGGAGAATAATAAGTGTTTACCTTTCTTAGATGTTCTTATTATTCAGAATTGCGATAAATTTCTTATTACAGTTTATTGAGCACCATTTGCGGTTTCAGCTCCCTCTTTATAATCTTTCATTCCATTCCCTTAGCCGAAAGATTACTAGCGCACTTGCTTACCATGCTTCTAAAATTTGTTTAATTAGTTATCTCCTTACTGTAAAACTATTTTGCTTTAAAGCTATCGTTGTAGGTCACATTTTCCTTCTAATATTATTGATTCCATTTATATAAAATAAATCTCACAATACACCTAACTCTCTAATTCAAACTTTAACTCCCTGGTGGCTTAGAGAAAGAGCAAAATTTGGAGAATGTTTCTCCCCTATATACTATTTCTCTATCGAAATACGTGGAAAAACCGGTTTTTCTATACCGAGAAGACTTTAGGTTAACATAGGACTTTTTACGTGCAGAACCGTCAGTTGATTAACAATTTAATTGTTTATCATCTGGTTGTTTTACCTTGTCATACCAATATCAGTCCACAAATCGCTAATATTTTGAATATATTCGAGTTTAAAAGCGTTTTCTCCCCTGTACCTTAAAGAACCTATTGCTGCTGTTAATGGCTGCAGAACCGTCAGTTGCTTAACAATTTGATTGTTTATCAACCGGTTGTTTTACCTTCTCATACCAATATCTGTCCCCAAATCGCTAAGATTTTGAATATATTCGAGTTTAAAAGCGTTTTCTCCCCTGTACCTTAAAGAACCTATTGTTGCTGTTAATGGCTGCAGAACCGTCAGTTGGTTAACAATTTGATTTGCTGCTGTTAATGGCTGCAGAACCGTCAGTTGGTTAACAATTTGATTGTTTATCATCCGGTTGTTTTACCTTCTCATACCAATATCAGTCCCCAAATCGCTAAGAATTTGAATATATTCGAGTTTAAAAGCGTTTTCTCCCCTGTACCTTAAAGAACCTATTGCTGCTGTTAATGACTGCTGAACCGTCAGTTGGTTAACAATTTGATTGTTTATCATCCGGTTGTTTTACCTTTTCATACCAATATCAGTCCCCAAATCGCTAAGATTTTGAATATATTCGAGTTTAAAAGCGTTTTCTCCCCTGTACCTTAAAGAACCTATTGCTGCTGTTAATGGCTGCAGAACCGTCAGTTGCTTAACAATTTGATTGTTTATAACCCGGTTGTTTTACCTTCTCATGCCAATATCAGTCCCCAAATCGCTAAGATTTTGAATATATTCGAGTTTAAAAGCGTTTTCTTCCCTGTACCTTAAATAACCTATTGCTACTGTTAAAGGCTGCAGAACCGTCAGTTGCTTAACAATTTGATTGTTTATCACCCGGTTGTTTTACCTTCTCATACCAATATCAGTCCCCAAATCGCTAAGATTTTGAATATATTCGAGTTTAAAAGCGTTTTCTCCCCTGTACCTTAAAGAACCTATTGCTGCTGTCAATAGCTGATGTATTAATCAAATTTCGTGTCAGTGTTGTATTCCTTGTATTGGATGAACTAAATGGGAAAAGAACACACAAAAAATAAGAAAAATACAAAAGATATGTTCAAAATTAGGATATTAACTAACCATGCATTGTCTTGAATGTTTACACAACTTTAAGTGATTTTTTTTTTTTTTGCTATTTTTTTCACTTTTTTTTGGTTCTATAATAATGATTATTTATTCATTGTTTTTAAATGTACTTATCGCTCCTGAGATCTAGATTTTACTATTTTACACTTGAGTTGAAAGCGTGTGAGAGATAAGAAGTTGCCAGATATAAATTTATACATTTTATTTCTTGAGTCTTGCAATCTGTATTTTTAAGTTTAAGAACAGTCGCTTTTTTTTTAAATCCGTGTCATCACTCATTTTCTTAAGATTAACATGTTAATAAAATATTCTAACATAAAATTATTATTTATAACTAAATGCTCTTTGTTTTTGTAGAAAATAGTGATTAAAAAAGAAGGGGGGAAAGAAACAAGTAATGAATGAAAAACAATCAAGGGGGTTTTTAGCATAGCAAGCTGAGGACAAAGTTTCTGAGTTTTTTTTTTTTTTAAATATTTATATTTTCTGTTCTACTTACTTGAACTGTGGCTTTCGGAAATCCAGCAAATGTGATAAAAATTTGTTCTTTAATCGTCATATCAGAACTGCAGGCAGATAACATTGAACTAACTATTCTTGCTGCAAGAGCAGAAAATATTGTAGCCAAAGCCAATCCTATAAAACCAAATTGGAATAAATCGGGCTCCATGGAAAAATTGTCAAGGTCTTTATATGCAAATATTTAAAAATTAAACTGCTATTTATAAATAGTGAAATTATATATCATCTGTATTATTAAAACTCAAACTTAGTAAGCGTATGAAAATATTCACTTAGCGATTTTTAAAAAAGTGTGAATACTTTATTAATATCTAAGCTATTTGCCAGTTCTAACACCCCTATAGGTCCTTATTTTCCTTATAAAAGCCTCTTCATTGCTCTGAATATAAACAAAAACTAGTTCTGGTGTGTGCGAAGAGTATTTTCCTTCCCTATAAATACACTAAGCAAAGCATGTTACGGAATAAAACTGGTTGAATCTCTTGCTTTGACGATCGATTTACTTAAGAGGCCTGTTATGAGAGAAACATTCCAAACGAAACAGTCAAGTGGTTCCGCGCGTAGTCTATTGCATTACAGTCGATTTCGAACCACTAAAATAAAATTTTATAATCAAATGTACAGTTTTGTTTATATTTATTTATAGTGAGCCATGGTGGCTCAGGAGATAGAGCGTTTGCCTTCCAATGAGGTGAACCTAGTTCGATTCCCAACGATGGCTGATCGATATGAATTTCGCACTCGGCTCGCACCGACCACAGTGCTGACGTAAAATAACTTCAGTGGTAGACGGATCATTGGTAAGAGTCCCCTTGTCGTCCGGCTAAGTGTTTTTTCATCTCCATGTAACTCAAAATTAGGTTAGTTCCATCAAAAAGTTATCCACGAGGGCAATTTTCTCCCAATACTTGATCCAGGAGTTCCCTTGTCTTCTGGATTGAGTTGAACATTGATAGACATAAACCCAAAAATTGGGTAGGCTGTTCAACGAGGGTTATAAAATGTGATAAAATTTTTTATAGTGTTCATAGATTTGTTTAAACAAAACTAGTTTTTTTTTCTTTCAAAAGATGCTACATTTTCTCATGATTATTAGCTCTTGATTATTTAATGATAAAGATTATTTTTCTTGCAATTGCTTGTTAGAAAGTTAGCATTTTCTAATCTTACCAATGGTTTGTGGCTCCAGATAATCAATTCGAATTTCTGAACCAATTAATCCAAAAAGAAATGGCTCAATAATCCTCCATATGAAGGCCAAAGCTTCGTTCACTGGATTCTGTAAAAAAATATCAATTTGGAGATCATTAACATAATCATCTGTTACATACTAGAAAAAGTCCACATTCTGGAAATATTAAAAAATTGGTGACAACTGCTTCGTGAAGTTATTAAATTCGTTAGGCTTTAATTTCATGTTAGAATTTAGTTGTAGCGCAGATATTTAATTTACAAAAAAAAAAATTTGGTCGAATTAATAAGTTAAAAATTTTTTAAATTTTATGGGAAAATGGTTAACCTGAAAAAGCTGCCAAGTTTTTTGGTTCTGCTTATAAATTTTATTTAAAGTAGAGAAATTAATTCTTTACTTTTTTATTTTTGATTGAATAAATTTTATTTTAATGACCATCACCAAAAATAAAGGATTTAAATAAACCTGCTTAAAACTTCTAGGATGCCAACTTGCTCAGCTTTGTAAAAAATTATATATATTCTAATTGTACTGAAATTCGAGATATTTTTAGTTTAGTTATTTTAATATTTAGTCATTTTTTCACCACTGCTTATCAAAAGTTCAAAGTATCATATGAAAGGCTACTTTATTGCAGTTATCTCGTATTGATACTTTTCAAGAGTGAGCGTAATTATTGTTTTTCAGAAAGTTTCATTATTTAATAACAGGGCGCGTAGCGTTTTTAAGAAGTGCTTAAAGGTGCTTATTTTCGATTTTCGTTTTTTAAAAGCCCTTGAAGGTGCTTTTTTCATTGGGTGTTTTTAAAAAGTGCATAATTTTTTCCTCTTTCAAAATAAGATTTTTCCTTTACTATGCTGATTTTCACTCAAAATTATTCAAAAAGACACAGTTCACATTATTCTATTCAACACTTTCACAATTAATTCAACCCCAATCTATTTCGGTATATTGTCAGTCCGTAGCGTATGAAATCGCCATTCGTTTTACATAATTTAAAATTTCATGATTTTTGACAATCGTCAAAAACAATGCCAAAAGGTTCTTTGACATGACGGTTAAAACAAGATAAAACTGCCAATTGTCAAAAACTTTCCAACCCTGCCTAGTCCCGCAGTGGACTGATCATTAAGACACGGTTCCCAGCAGATCACCGAAGTCAAGCATCACTGGCTGCGGTCAGTGTGCGGGTGGGTGACCACTTGGATCAGCCTGCGTAGGGACTGAGGGTGTGCGGTATTGATCTTCGTTAAACTGTTCGTGCTCGACTTCGCGTGCAGGTCGTCGGGCTACCGAAGCGGGGGTGCCATCCCCTCTGCAGAGGATCAAAATTGTGATGGCATGTCTTCGGATCATCCTGAGGGACGTTTCCCAGACCGTCGCCAATAGCCCATTGTGCAGCTCTAGTGCGACGTAAATGAACAACAACCAACCCTGCCTAATTATATTTTTTCAAAGTGCTTAAAAATATGTTTTGAATGCTTAAAAGGTGCTTATTTTTTGTTGAATAAGTTGGTTACGCATCCTGATATATTAAAATTTTTGCAGAAAGTGGAGCAATTGGCATCCCTGTACTTCCTAGGAATCGTTCTCCAAGTCCCAATTAAATTTGGTTTATGTAAACTTGGTATTCTATGTAGGGAAACACATCTGAAGAGTAGCCCGTAGAAGCTGCAAAAAGTCACTCTATATACACACCTCCTAGAAGAGAGAAGGCCAACCCATGAATTAATTATTGTAGTCCGACGTAACAGACATAAACTGCGCAGTGGGTGTTATTAAGAAAGATGTCACAACGTTTGGGCTACTAAATTGTGCAGCTGGAGAAAATACGTTCGTTCTACCGAAGGACCGAATTTCTAATTTGTGGTAATCTGTGCGGAGGTCTTCTCTCTTCTAGGAGCTGTTGGGGGAATGCAAATCCCAACTAAATTCACTTTATGTCAACTCAGTCTTTCCCACCCACACCATATCTGCTTCGTTAATTATTCAAATTACTCTTCACTCAGGTGGATATCTTGAAGCACACATTTGTATATAGGCATATGTAAAGAGTATATAGCATAGTATATCTGTACATAGTCATCTGTATATAGGCTTTGTCTGGCTGCTTCATGAATAAAAGCTGCTAATAGCAGAGTGAATGTGTTTAACTATGTGTGTCCTTTTTTAAATCGATGAATGAATATAAAAATTTCAAAAACAAGAGCCTGAAAAGATTAATCTTGTAGTAGCTAATTTTATGTATAATGTATGATTCTTTGATTTAGAGTCATTTTCTGCAGCACTATTTGCTCGTTCCGAATATATTAAATATAGGAATCTGTTTACCGGTGTGACCCAAACCCTAGAACTACTGAGGAATTTCTGGTTTTTGCATATCCCGTCGACCATTTTTGCCAGTTCTAAAAATAAATTTGGTTTTGGTCAAAGTTAAATATTTTCCCATATTTTGCATGCAAAAGTTATATTCTTAATTTGTTTATTTCCTAATGACCAATTGGTTACTTGCATCTCGAGAAGAAGACGATCACTGATACTCAGACATGTGACCTATGTGTGATGGTATATAAACAAGATGGCGTGTTACATTCGAATTAAATTTCTCCTCATAAGTTAGAATGTTAATTAATAATATGTTATTAATGTTAGAATATGAATGTTAGTTAATAAAATACGTTTATGAATGTTAGTTAATAAAATACAACGCCGTATCGCACATCAAAATTGTTAAAATATATTTCTTTCTCATCTGTCTTTTACTTTCTATGTCTTTTACTTCATTATTTGTTTATGCAATATACTTTATGTATTGTAACCGTGACATATTTTAATTTTGTGTACCTGGCAATTGCAATGCATAATTAGTTTGTTTGTGTTCTACATGGCTTATGAAAAAATATAGAATGTGTCAATTAAGAGAATTTAAGATGGACGGGCTTGGCTTACTCTAAATAGAATGGAAAGAACAGTCGCTAACGTAAACAAATGCCACATTTTAGCAACTAATCAGGATCGAGATACCCACAATACGTCACTTGCAGGTATTTCATTACCTCGTATGTAAAAATAACTTTGGAAGGTACCGAAATAACTCAGGCGTGGCGTTGGCCTAAATTGGTCGAGGAATTAATATGAAGAATCGAATTTCCGTACTTTAAGAAAATATTTTTTTAGTGGTAGAAAAAGTACGTGTTAATATTGTAATAAATTAAAATTTAAAGATTTTTAACAACCACTACACGTATATAATTTAAATGGTTAGATAAAAGAACTAATATTTTGATAAGTTCTAATAAATGTTTAAAATTAAACAAAATATTTTATTTATGTTTAAAAAAACTCTTCTTTTGTAATTCATTTTTTAAAAATAATTCAAAAAAATTGAAATGCTGGAGAGTATGCTAATGCAGTATGTTCCCTAAGGCTGTTTCCCGGAACCTTTGGTTTCCGTGGTAAAGTCGCAGATAAAGTTTTTTTTTTTTTTTTTTTTTTTTTTTTTTTTTTTTTTTTNTTTTTTTTTTTTTTTTTTTTTTTTTTTTTTTTTTTTTTTTTTAAACCAGTAATAATTTTTTAAAACCTGTAACCAACCATGTATCCAACCAATAATCCATTAATATAAGGCATATTAAGGTTGTTTTTATGAAATTACTTCTGGGAAATAGCATTAAATTGAAATAGGAAATTTTAAAATATATATTTTTTTCCAATAGCAATACATTGAACAAATTTCTAAACGATATGCATTTACAAATTATTGCATCAGTATTTCTAATCGAATTTTAAAATTCAAAATAAATAAACTGAATTCAAGGGGAGTAATGAACTATTATTTTTTTCTGATACCTTTTTTCCCAATTTACGACAATTCTTTTTCAAAAATTATAATTCAGCTTATTTGATTCAACTTAAACGGCAAAAAATTTTAGACTTGACTTACACAGTGAAAAACGTTGCAACTGCAGACTTTGTGAATTCAACTGCTTAACATGAAACCTAATTTTCAGATTTATTGTTGAAAAAATAAAAAAATAAAAATTTCATTCACTTTAAATGTTTCTGAATTACTTTGAATTTGTTTTTTGTTTTTTTCGTTTGCATATTTACACCTGCTAATGAACGTTTTTTCAGGATTTCGCCGAAATAAGTTCAATAGTTTAGGGTTCCGTGGCTGAAAAAATTTGGTTTGCTCCGTGCTAATGTACCAACTTTCATAACTTTAATTAACTATTTTTACTTAAATGTTTAATGGCAATTTGAAATTCGTCATTATCCCTTTCATCAAGAAAGACGAGATAACTCGTCTTACAGGAATATTCATTGTACGCTGGAGACGATATAAATCGTCCTTTACACAAAGTCTTTTTCAATAATATAGAAACCTTTCTAGCGACTTATTTACCAACATTTAGTAAAGATTATTATTTTCATATTAATATTTTTATGTCTGTAAACACAAAAAGAGAATTGTTATTGAAAGCAATTGATTATTATTTTTTTAAATGTTAAAATTTGTTTCAATTTTAGCGCAGATGGTGAGACAAAGGTGAGCTTTTGTCACGATGAAAGTGTTAAGGAGGTTAACTACATTCCAGGTACTCCATAGCACAATTTTTTAGATTTCGCAACTTGATGTAGTTTTTAAATGCTGATGCTAATAATATTAAAAATAATTACTTACAATTAGTATTTTTATAGCTATGAAAGTGTTAAGGAGGTTAACTACATTCCAGGTACTCCATAGCACAATTTTTTAGTTTTCGCAACTTGATGTAGTTTTTAAATGCTGATGCTAATAATATTAAAAATAATTACTTACAATTAATACTTTTATAGCTATGAAAGTGTTAAGGAGGTTAACTACATTCCAGGTCCTCCATAGCACAATTTTTTAGTTTTTGTAACTTGATGTAGTTTTTAAATCCTTATGCTAATAGTATTAAAAATAATTACCTATAATTAATTCTTTCATAGCGATGAAAGTGTTAAGGAGGTTAACTACATTCCAAGTACTCCATAGCACAATTTTTTAGTTTTCGCAACTTGATGTAGTTTTTAAATGCTGATGCTAACAATATTAAAAATAATTACTTACAATTAATACTTTTGTCGCGATGAAAGTGTTAAGGAGGTTAACTACATTCCAGGTACTCCAAAGCGCATTTTTTTAGTTTACGCAACTTGATGTAGTTTTTAAACGCTGATGCTAATAATATTTTTAAAAAAATTACTTGCAATTCATACTGTAATTTTAATTTCACTGCCATTAGATAAAACGCCTTTCAAAAAATGCAACTATTGGGAGATCTTAGACATGAATAACGAAAGACTGCAATTGAATTTCGAACTTACATGATGCTCTTCCCAGTTCATTCTTTTCCATCGTATAGCGGCAGTGAACGGTAATAGAATGCAGCCTAAAGCACCTGCTGACCCTGCATTCAATGCCTGACTTCCAAAGAAAATACACGTTGATCCAAAGACCAACATCAGAACACGAAACACTGCTCTACTTTTCTGAAAGAATACAAGATAAAATTAAAATATGATGTGGGGTGTTCCTTATTTACTTCCCTTAATACATAGTTTTAGAATGTTAGAAAAAAAATCGAATTGAAAAAATATGGCATTAAATGTCACAAATCGGTATTAGTAATCGAAATAAAGTTGTTTAAACATCGACGCATAATTATTAAGGTCGATTAAACAAAAGTACGGTTTTAAATAATCAAAAAGTCTGCTTGCAGGACTGTTTATGCTGGAGAACATTCATCTTTCGTTAGGAATAGCATTTTAGTTTTAATCTTAAATAAATTGGTGCTCAATGAATGTAATCTCACCTTTATAACCAACATTTATAATGATTCGTCAAAATATGATTAAGCTTTGGTTGTTGTTTTTTCTCCCGTAAATGTTATGATTAGTCTCCTAAGGCATAGTTTATTTACTTCAATTTCTACAAAGATTCTAATAACATGCAATAAGGTCTATCTTCACGAAGCCCCCTGTATAGGATTACATCTTACTCTTGTGCTCTACAATATAATATTGCTATTAGTTTTCGGAGAAATACTAATAATTGTTTCCTATAATTCGATTCATTAATATTATAAGTAGATTCATTTGTCTATTACTTGAAAGGAAGATAAGCTTTTAATATATGCGTGGCCGGGATAGCCTGGTTAGTAGGACGTTGGGCTCGTGTTCATGTGAAGGGTTCAAATCCCACCGGTGGAAGAATCCCTGTGCTGTAAATGGTGACTAGTGCACGTTAAATATGTCTGGATCACAAAATCTTCCAAGTTCTCATAACGAATCAATACCTCTGGGGGTACTAAATTGGAGATTGATCATTTTTTGGTTCAGGTCAGAATTACGATCTGAGGATAAATGAATGGAATCCCTGTAAAACGGGCCGTGACGTGTGCGTGGTTAAAACCGTATTCTTGGCCATAGATGGTACCACTAACAAAAAAGAAACTCATCCTCTGCCCTAAAATTTCACTTGATTTCAAGCAGACTTGCTTGTAATGGCAAGTGGCATAACTAGGCCGCGATGGCTCAGGGGATAGAGCGTTCGCCTTGCAATGAGGTGAACCGATACGAATTCCGCATCCGACATGCACCGACCACAGTGCTGACTTAAAAATATATCCTCAGTGGTAGACGGATCATGGGTTAGAGTACCTTGCCGACCGTGGGACGTTCTCGTGGTCTTCCTCTCCATGTAACGCAAATGGTAAGTTCCATCAAATAGTCCTCCACGAAGGCAAATTTCTCCTAATACTTGATCCAGGAGTTCCCTTGTCTTATGGATTGAGTTCAAAATTACAAGGCTATGGAGTTGAATGTTAGTAGTCGTAAACCCAGAAAATTGGGTCGGCTGTTCAACGACGGTTATAAAAAAAAAGTGGCATAACTAACAGCAACATACTTGCGTTCTGCTTCTTTCCTTCTAACAAATGAATATTACGCGTTGTTTAGGGGAATTCGTTAACTATTCCACTGTTAAAATAAAAGATATAGATTATTTAGATAAGATTATAAGATTATTTTTATTATAAGATTTTGCGTCATGGAAGCTAAGCATTGGCAACATGTCTAAGACATTTTTTTCCCTTTAGCATAGTAGACCTAGCGTTGTTCGCTTGTAAATCATTTCTATCTCAAAACTTTAAAATAAAAGTTCAAATTTGTGATACTTTCCTATAACTGCTTTGCAATTTGATGCTTTCTGTAATTCCACACAAAAAATTAAACAAATCGTTCAGAAAGCAATACATTTTAAGACATAAGGATTTGAATATTAACATGTTGTGACATGTGTTACTCAGTTATTCATTTCTTAACTTTTTAACAGCAATGAAGCATGTTAGATTCAGATAACCTACTTGACGTAACATCGACAAATCATAAAAATGCTAGGTACTTTGAATTCGTAAAAAAAATTATTGAATGATTACTACATCCTGATTTGGTATGAACTTACAAAGCATTTCGAAAATTATACCATAGGCACGTATAATAATGTATTTTTTAGCTTTGAAACCAGAAGTTTATTTTAGGAAATGTTCAAAACACGGCCAATAGTACTGTATAGTTATAACTTATCCCCAGACAGCTGCCAATAGCCCATTATGCAGCTCTAGTGCGAAGTAAATAAAAGTACAGTACCGTATTATTTATTATTTCTTTTTAACGCTTATATCTGCTACTTATAAAAATATTGGGTCATTTGAATAGCAAAAAGATTAGAGTTAATATTACCTCTTTCGTATTTTATATTAACAACAAACCAAGCAAAAATGTATACCATAAACCAGGGGTGGCGAACCTTTATACACCAACGTGCCATTTTCTCTAAAAAATTGCTTAATGAGGTCATAGACGTGCCGTCAAGTAATTTGACTTCGTGATTATTGGGGAAATAATAATACTAAATACTATCAACGCAAAACTCTTTATTTACATTGAAAAAAAATACATTTTGCAATATCTCAGTTATACGCGTAATTCAACTTTCAAGTAACATCAGTGTGACTTCTGTTGTTGCAGATTAGATGACAAATAACTTGTATTAGGTTGTAAGATGTTAGTTTNGCTTCATAGCGTAATAACATTTGTGTAATAACAATTCATAGTGTAACAACAATTGTGATCGGTGGAGTGCCCAAAATATTGTGTCGCGTGCCATTGTTTCGCCATCCCTGCCATGAACAGTCATAAGAATATTTATCGAGCATACATTTCTCAGTTTTGAAGCCAGACGTTATACAATATGCTATGATTACTGTTACCTTTATTTACTTAATTTCCCCATCCTCTATCTTATAACTTATTAGCTATATTAACTTATAAGCTATAAGTAACTAATTTGGCTTGATCTACAAGCTATAAAAACTTACCTCATCTGGATTTGGTATGAACCAACAAACCATTCCAAGCATGATACCATAAGCAATGCCACTAAACATTTCTACAGGTCCTTGACATACTTCCCACACCAAACCACCTGAAAATATAATTATAGTTCAAATATTGAAATTGAACATATGTATGAATATGTGTATTAAAGTATATTTTTTTCATATTTTTTAATGAAACAAACTATTGAAATATTATTTACTAAATTTTACCCCGTTATTATGAAATCATGATTTTCATACATGCTAACATATTTGACGTCTACCTGCAATTTTAGAAACAGCAGACTTTTATTAGAAAAAGATAGGAGTCGAATAAGTCAATTATTTCATTATTAGCGTCTAAGAGTTAACTCTTAGCCGACCGAACGAATTGTGCCGGAATATAAGCTAGCAAACGTGTATGTTTTCAACAGCTACAACTGTTACAAAGCTGGAAGATCTCCTAGTTTTTCCACTTATAACGTCTGAAATAGCATATGCTTTATAACTCGTGTATAGTATTGGATATGAAATAGTAAACGTTTACATATGCTTATCTAAAAGGTAATTTTACGTCTATTGGGGATTTCAGCATGGAAGTGACGATATTTAATTGTATTATACCAGGTATGCCACAGGCGTCTAAAAACGTAAAAAGTGGTGATTAGATGATTTTCGTTTTAAATATGATCATAATTTGCATTGTAAGTCATGGTGATTTTGTAAGTCAATTGAATAATTTGCATTGTAAGTCAATTGATAAATTAAATCAGTAATGATGAATTGAGTTTCTACCACATTTTACAATTTTAGTTGCTTTATGCATCCCTGTTATAAATATCGTAATTTTAATTTGAAATCATTAAACCAAAATTTTTTTAAAGACTGAAGTGGTAGCTAACACTATGAAATATCTATTTACATTTATACGTAAATATTTGAAAAACTATTCAACTATCAGCAATCGTTATTTCAGATCAAGGGAATTTACAATGAGAGGGAAGTAGGAAATCTTCTTAGGAATATATTTTAAAAAGTTGCGAATGCTGACTGTGTAGAACTAATTACTAGTAAAAACAAAATCTTTTTGCGTGACTTACCCGTTCCTAATATAATTCCAAACAATACTTCAAAAGTTGTTAGAGATAAAACATCGACGACCCCAGCCACGGAAATAACCATTGTTGGAATACCTTTTACCATCCCTAGTCCTTTTCGCATCATCTTTAGCATCACTGGCAGGACAACAGCTGGAGAAACTGCAGACAACATTGCACTGTAAGTAGAAATCAGAGCAAAGGTTAACTGAATTTTTTTTTAAAACTTACCTTTAATTTTAACCAAAAATTGTGCAATAAAAATAAATTGATTGAGCAAATTGCAATAATAATAAATTCGACCTCGATAATAACTATAAATAATAAATTGAATTGTAATAATGGCAGGACAACAGTTAAAGAAACTGCAAACAACATTGCACTGTTGATAGAAATTAGAGCAAAAGTTAACGAAAAATTTTAAAACTTGTCTTTAATTTTAACCAAAAATTGTGCAATAAATTAATTAAGCAAATTGCAATTATAATAAATTCGACCTCGATAATAATTATAAATAGTAAATTGAATTGTAATAATGACAGGACAACAGCTAGAGAAACTGCAGACAACATTGCACTGTTGATAGAAATTAGAGCAAATGTTAACAAAAAAAATTTCTTTTTCATAATTTATCTTGAATTTTAACAAAAAATTGTGCAATAAATTGATTGAGCAAATTGCAATTATAATAAATTCGACCTCGATAATAATTATAAATAATAAATTGAATTGTAATAATGGCAGGACAACAGCTAGGGAAACTGCAGACAACATTGCACTGTTGATGGAAATTCGTGCAAATGTTAACGAAAATTTTTTTTAAACTTTTCTTTAATTTTGACCAAAAATTGTGCAATAAAAATAAATTGACTGAGCAAATTTCAATAATAATAAATTCGAACTCTATAATAATAATAAATTTAATTGTAATAATAATAATTTATAATAAATCGACCTCCATAATGGTGCCGTTAATAATGTTGATAATGTTTTCTTATATTTCTTGTTTGAATACTTATTTCTTATCCGTAATTTGTATAGATTTCATAATTAATTTGCTTAATAATTTGCTTTCATGATTAATTATAAAAAATACGTATTAAGATAAACTCAATATAGTGCTCTACAAAATATGTTAGTGAAAATTCCTCAATAATGAAAATACATTTTATGGAAAAAGTACCTTTTAAACTTTTTTTTATGAATATTTCTCGGAAGAGTAATAACTCACCCCAGCAAAAAACTCCACATCCAATTCATTTTAAGTAAGAAGTGTGCAACGACGGATCCAACTATGAACTCAGAGATGAATGGGATAAGGATAATTTTTGCGCAGGTAATTTTGTTGTTTCGAATGATGTCGGAATCTACTTCAAGGCCAGCTCTTAGCAGAACAAAAATAAGTGCAAGATTTCTAAAAGCGAAAAAAGTTTGTGTCAGTTAATTGCAAAATATAGCTAAAATGATATGATATATGCATACTTCGATATTTTTTGTCTTTCTGACTATTATTTTCCCAAATTTTAGGGAAATTACATTTTAAGGGAGAAATAAACTTTTATTCTAACAGATCTTGAACAAACCATCACATGATTATTATTCATTTATATAATTATGCTTGAATTATTCATATATAGTGGTGATCAAAATTATTTTATTAGGAATTATTTTTAAAGGAATTAAATAGAAAAAGAATAATTTGTTTCACCAGTTTAAATATTTTAAAAAAAAATTTAAGAAAAATCCACAAAAGTTGTCAGTTATATAAGCAATTTCACAAATATTTAAAAATGGCAATGTGTAAGGAAATTAATAGTAATGAATAAACAATGAAACTTTAAAAAGAGGTGTGAGTTGTGAAATCGCCATTTGCAATGAGAGATGAAAAAATGTAAAATATTTAAGTCTTTATATAAATAAATAATCTTAAAAGTATTTTTAAATCTCAATTTAAAATTCTTACGTTTCTTCACAATTTCAATTCAAAATTAAGCCCAATCCCCTGAGGCAGTGGCTTGCATAGAGGAAGGTCAAAGCTGGCAACTATTCCAGGTTTCCAGCCCAAAATGGGCTTGAATTGGCGACTAAACAATTAAATTTATTACTATTATTTTAATTCCAGCATTAATAGATTAATATTTGGCTAATAATTTAATAGATTAATACTTGGCTCTAGGAAAATGTTTTATTGGGTACAGGGCCGGATTATACCTTTCGTAGGCCCTAGGCACAGAGCCGGATTATACCTTTCGTAGGCCCTAGGCATAGCCGTTTTTGCCCCCCCCCCATTCCTCCCCTCTTTCCCCGCTAAAATTTTCTTGCATATTTTTTTTTTACATTTTTATTAATATGGGTTTTAATTTACGAATTTGTTTATCTAACTTTATCTGCAATACCGACATACTGCCGATATTGCAGTTGATATCGATAATACCATTTTTGGTGAAAATTTACTCTTCCGATTTAGAGGAAAACTTTGTAGATGAATTTTTACTATTTTCAAATTTGTATGAGCATAAATCTGCACAAGAAATGTTGAAGGCTCAAATTAAAGATAAACTTGTGAATACTTTTCCTAACGTTCACATTGCATTAAGAATATATTTGTCGATTCTTGGATCAAATGCAGAAGGAGAAAGATCTTTCTCCAGATTAAAATTGATAAAAAATTATTTGCGTTCAACAATGAATCAAGATCGTTTGGCATCGCTCGCACTTATGTCTATTGAATACGACATTTTGCGTAGTTTGGAATTCGACAGCATAATACAAGATTTCGTTGAATCCAAAAATCGCAAAAAAGTAATATATTAGATCATAAGATTCTGCAAAATAATTTATTACCGAAAAATATTATATTTTTATTTGTATCTTCATAATTTTGTGCAAAATACACTTGTTGTTTTTAAAGCTAAATTATTTTGGTCAATAAATTTTTTTCTCCCAAGTTTTTCGTAGGCCCCTGAATTTCGTAGGCCCTAGGCACGTGCCTAGTGTGCCTATAGGATAATCCGGCCGTGATTGGGTATGTAATTTTACTGAAAACAAGTTTAATTACGAAGTTCTAAGGTTGCTAAAAAAAAGAGAAAAACTACAATTAATTAATGCGAAATATGACAAATAAAACAATGTAAAAACATGTCAATTTTCAATTATTAATTTTTAAAATCAAATATTATTTTTTAAAGAGCTATTTAATTGATTCTGTACATATTTTTGGTTTTACCATCACTAAACGATACATATGTAGTAAACATTTATATACCTCACAATTCACAATCTCTACGATAACTACTAACCTAAATTATGATAATGAATATTTCAATTTTATTTTTTCTGCATGAAATTTTTAGAAAGAAAAAAAGTTTCATAAATAGCGATTTGCAGTATTAGTCCCAGATCTATGACAAAAAAACCCAATAAATTAAAATAAAATTAACGAGCCTGACCGTTTGACCACTCGCCTGACTTAATTATTGGGACAATCTTTCCCGAATTCTGGTCATTCTCCATTTTTTTTGAGAATCAGAAGTCCAGCATTTTTTACTCAGAGATAGAGCTTGTGTCTGATTTCATAACTTAATTCTTAAGCATGGTTAGAACTAAAAAAACGCATCTGTAATGCACCCTTTAATCTTTCATTAGGCTAACTGTTTCCTTAGTAACGTTTTGCTAAAATATTTTTGGGTTTGACATTGATCTATAAAAGAAATTAATTTGGCCTATTACCCAAAATTATTTTTTTAAAACATTTTTTAGGTGGGGAGGGGGATTTTTTTCTTACTGAAAAGAATTGGTCACAAACTTGAACTTGAAGGAGTTAGACAAAAGTATGGAAACACTTCTATACTAACTCTATGCAAATAATATTTCCTTTAGCAGCAAATGTTTAGAAGGGATGTAAAATATCCTCAGTGGTAGACGGATTATAAGTTAGAGTCCCCTTGCCGTCTGGCTAACCGTGGGAGGTTCTCGTGTTCTTCCTCTCCATGTAACGCAAAAGCGAGTTAGCTCCATCAAAAAATCCTCCACGAAGGCAAAAATCTCCCAATACTCGATCCAGGAGTTCCCTAGTCTTCTGGATTGGGTTCAAAATTACAAGGCTACGGAGTTGTAACCCATAAAAATTGGGTAGTCGTAAACCCATAAAAATTGGGTCGGCTGTTCAACGACGGTTATAAAATGTTTAGGAGGGAGCCGTGGTGGCACAGGAAATAGAGCGTTCACCTTCCAATTAGATGAACAGGGTTCGAATCCCAGCTATAGCTGGTCGTTACGAACCCCGCTCTCAGCTCGCACCGACGACAGTGCTGAAGTAAAAATATCCTCAGTGGTAGATGGATCATGGGTTAGAGTCCCCTTGCAATCCGGATAACCGTGGGAGATTTTCGTAGTTTTCCTCAACATGTAACCATGAGGCTGATTAGTTCCATCAAAAAGTTTTCCAAGAAGGCAAAATTTCTCCTAATACTTGATCCAGGAGTTCCCTTGTTTTCTGGTTTGAGTTCAAAATTACAGGGCTACGGAGTTGAGTATTAGTAGCCCTAAACCAAACCAGAAAGCTTATATTTACGAAGACGGAAAAGAGCAAAAACTGGTACAAAAGGCATTTCATTCCTGCATTTCATTTTTTTTTTCAAGAAACATTAAATTTCTGTAAGTACAGAAATATTTTTTACAACAATAGCATACATATAAAACTGCTTCTTCCCTGAGAAAAAGTAGATATTATGGTTAGTTTGAAAAAAAAAATAAAGATTTACTCCTCCGAAAAACAAGGTAAAACTGAAATGCTTTTTTTACTAGCAGCTTTCCTCTTTTCCGTCTCGCTTTCATCCATGTCATGAACCCAAAATTAGGTCGGTTGTTCTACGACGCTTATAAAATAAAATATTTAGGTGAATTTTACATTACAAAACTGTTGGCATAATTTGAAGTGCAAGAGTGCAACACAAATGCTTAAAGCTTTTAGATATGTCTTTTTACCCATCCTAAATTCGATTGTCCAAAATGAGTGCATGAAAATAAAAGCTTTCATTTTTTCTCTTCCCAATACCACTATAATTAAAAAAACTTTTAACAATATATATAGTACTTCAATCCCACTGCATGATTGCAGAACTGCTGGTATTATAGTTAAAAGAAGAACAAAATTCTTCCTCGCCTGACTTTGGTCTTAGTAAAGATAGCACGGATGAAAATAACTACATTTCTAAAAGCTTCGATCATGATTTTTCAAAATGCTCCAGAAGTTTAGCCATTTAAAATCTTTCAAAATATTAGCTTCGAAAAGAAAGATTGTTTACGTAGTATAGAAGAGCTTCCTTATTTTTTAAAACAATTATGTACTTATAAACAACAGAAACTATAAATTCTGCGTTCATAACTACAAATAAATTCAATGAGAAATAATCGAATAAAACTTAACAAAAATTAGATAAAACAAATAAATAATAATAATAAAAAAAAACTTCTAAAGAATCCATTCATCATAATTGCAAAAAGGAATTTGGTTCTCACCTAATGTTATCTGCCCAAATTTCAGGAATGTCTTTCGCTACATTTATATGAGGCACGTTACGAAGAATGAATCCAGAAACCATCATACCTGTAAAGAAATTAAAATACGAAAACAAAAGAATGTCACGGTAAAAAGTAATTAAACATTGTTAGGTTATTAAGCTATTTAAACCCTTAAATACTTAACCCTTAACCGCTGAAACCCTCAAATGCACCGTCACAGAAAATTTAATAATGTCATAATAGAAGCACCTTTATTCTATTTACACTGAAGAGCCAAAAAAAAACTGGTACAGGCATGAGTATGCAAATGAAGGGGTATGGAGCAAATGGAGTACAGCGCTGTGATCGGCTACGCGTATATAAGAGAACGAGTGTCTAGCACAGTTCTTAGATTGGTTACTGGTGCTACAATGCCAGGTTATACAGATTTAAGTGAGTTTGAACGTGGTGTTATAGTCGGCGCAGGGGAGATGGGACATAGCATCTCCGAGATAGCAATGAAATTTGGATTTTCACGTACGATCATTTCACGAGTATACCGTGAGTATCGGAAATCCGGTAAAACATCGAATCTACGACATCGCTTGGATATTTGGGATGCCTTGCAACGTGATGTTCAGAAGATATCCCCATCTCCTCTTACTCCCACTGGTTTATGGACAGCCCTACAGGATTCATGGTGTCAATTATCTCCAGTACTACTTCACACATTGATCGAATCCATGCCACGTCGTGTTGCGGCACTTCTGCGTGCTCGCGGGGGCCCTACACGATATTAGGCAGGTATACCAGTTTTTTTTTACTCTTCAGTGTATTTATTTAAAGTGATTGTGCAGGTACTTTTTCATAAAGGCATTTTTTGCCTCTCTACAAAATATTGAGTTTTAGCAACAAAATATAGAGTCTGGTATGGGTTAATGCGCAGTGCGAAAGTCTCTTAACTGTTTTGGTTTGTTGTTTATGTTTGCCTCATGAGTAAGGCGATTTCCAAAGCAAGAAAAGGAGTTTAACCGGCTCTGTTACGTAACGTCCCTTAGGAAAATTTGCCATAGAGAAGCCTATGGTAATCTATGGCAACCTATGGTTACCATAGAAATTTGTATGGCAAGATAGCATACGCCTATGGTTACCATAGAGATTTGTATGGCACAACCCCATAAGCCTATGGTTACCATAGAAATTTGTATGGCAAGATACCATAGGTCAATGGTAACCATTGAGAGCTGCATGGCATTTATATGGCACGTCACCATTCTCCTATGGCAACCATANTTTGTATGGCACAACCCCATAAGCCTATGGCTACCATAGAAATTTGTATGGCAAGATACCATAGCCCAATGGTAACCATAGAGAGCTGTATGGCATTTATATGGCACGTCACCATTCTCCTATGGCAACCATAAACATTTGTATGGCAGTATACCATAGGCCAATAGTAACAATAAAGATTTGTATGGCAGTATACCATAGGCAAATGGTAAACGTAAAGATTTGTCTGGCTGTATACCATAGGGAAAAGCTGATCTAGATCCCCACCAACGAAACAACATTTCCTATGGAGTCCTCAAAAACATCTTCTAAAAGAAAGAAATATCAATTTTTTCACCCCGAAGTTAATTAAATTCAACATGCAATCCCACAAGGCATTCCTGGTGAGTCTTTTCCGCCCTCCGGGTGGCCCATTTTTCCATTTTTGAGTGTTTGAAATCCGATGTTCCATTGATTTAGGCTTAGAGTATCAGACCGCCATATTAACGTGTCATCCACTACAAGTGGAATCTTTCGCTAACTTTGGCTACTTATTTTAATATTTTTTCGATCTCATTCTTGGTCAAAAACATTTTATTGCAAATGCCTATGCGATTATCTATCTGAATTTATTAAGTTTTTAATTTCCGGCTGTCTGGTACTTTTATTATCGGTATCTTTTCAAAATATGTCGCGATTGGGTATAGGTTTTCGCTATGTTAAATTTTGCCATTTGTTAAAGCTGACTTTGTGCACTGTAATTAATATCTTGCTGTTTATATTTTTATCTAAAAATTTTATATTTCTTTCTCCCAACTGTTTCTGATTAAACAACATCTTTCTTTTTGTTTTATCCCCTCCCTCTGATTTTATATAAATTTTTAAAGTTACGTCATTTTTCCATTATTAATGGTGTTCTATTCCGCGTGGCAATTTGTAAACAATCTTCATGATGAAAAACGCAGTTAAGTGCTTATCATCAAGCCAGATCCATCATTTCTTTAATAATTAAAATTTTTTCATTCTTTTAACTTGTTCGGTGACAATTTCATTTTAATGCTGTTATATATCAATATCAAAGTCAGTGTTCACATTCTCATTAGTTTTTGATTTTAATTCCACTTAGGTTCTTGCAATGCTTTTTTACATTATCTTACATATGTTAGGGCTTTATATTTTTATTTTGTGTTTAATTTTTGCCTGTCATTAAATTGTTTTTTTATCATGTCTCTGTGTTTTACTATCCTACAACTAATATTTCTTAAGTATTCACATATGGTTGTACAATGTTCTGTTATATATTTATACATAGCTTTAGGGTCATCACTTAACTAGATTTGCTGGATTACTGGTTGACAATTGTTTTGCTTCAATATCATCAACGGGACAGTCCCTGGCCATATCATCTGCTGTGGTGACCAAAAATGCTTTTAACAATTTAATCTTTCCTTAAGTGTACAACTTTTTCGTCATAGCGATTTCCTATACCCAATTAATTTTTATTTACTATCCCTGACCAAGTGTCAATTTGTCAATAGCAATTATTAATTTTTCCAATTTTAATCATGTCTTAAACATGTTTTGTATTTATCAATGTTTCTATATTGAGTTCTCTTTTCTAACTGTGCTTAACACAACTCAACATAAATTTTCTGAGTTTTATATCCCTCACTAGTAGGGGATCAACTAATTTTGCCTATTTTCCATTCTTAGCTTTTCATAGTCTATACCAGGGATGGCGAACCAGTTGCACGCGTGCCATTTATGGCACGCCACATAATATTTTGGGCACGCCACCGATCACGGCTTCACTGTGAAGCAATTTACCAATTAAATTAAAATCCCAAAAACAAACATTAAAAATTACAATTAATGCCAAAAACCAATTAATTACCATAAAAAACAATCTAACAATAAATAACTAGCAAAAAAAAATTAACAGACCTGCTTGAAATAACATCTTACAACCTAATATAAGTTATTTGTCATCCAATCTGCAACAACAGAAGTCATACTGATGTTATGTACTTTAAGTTGAATTACGCGTATAACTGAGACATTGCGNTGACGCTTATCTAACTAATTATGATACCAATCAATCAAATTAGCGTTTTTTATACTCGCTCCGACCTCCGGACCCACTTTCTATTTTCTTGTTTTTTACAGCTTTAACAAATATGGTTGATTGTACTCAATATATTTTGTTCCTAATCAACATAGCCAATATTTTCCCCACTCGCTCCAACTACCGGACCCATTTTCTAAAGGTTAATACTAACCGTTTAAAATTTATTTGAATAAGAACAGCATTCAGAAAGGATTCTGCAAGTAAAACAGGGGAAGTTTATCAAAAAAATTCTAAAAGAACGCTTTCTGTATATATATTTATTCTACAATTATTAAGTTTTGCATTTTTAATATCCATTGCGAAAGATTCTTGTAAGTAACTATTTTTTGATGTATGGTAAAATATCAACGAGAAATGTTGCCATAGCTGTATGGCAAAGGTGTACCATAACCTATGGAAAAATATTTCTTCATAAACTGTAGCACATCTTAGTTTTATGGCAAAAATTTGCCATATAAAAAAATGCCATAGGATATTCCTATGGGGTTTTGCCTATGGTAAAATTTTGCCACACACTTTTGCCATACATGCATGGCAAAATTTTGCCATACGTATATGGCTAAAATTTAACCATAGGCAAAACCCCATAGGAATATCCTATGGCATTTTTTTATGGCAACCTATGGCAAATTTTCCTAAGGGGTGCTATACTTTGTGTATTTATGAGAAAGGAAAAACCCTCTTCACACGCTTTGGAATCGGTTTTTGTTTACTTTTAAAGCAAAGATTTGGCTTTTATAAAGAAACTATTTAAGTATTGGCTTTAAGCTCGATTTACAGCTAACTCAGCGACGTTACAAAATGAAAAATTGACTAGTTGTTCATTATACTCCGTGATCTTCTTTAGATAAATAATGATGCTTACCGTGACCGGAGTAACCTGGTTGCAGGGCGCTGGACTCACGTTAGGGGAACAGGAGTATCGAATCCCGCCAGCCGAATACTCACCTCGTAGAATGGTGATTGGTGCACGTTAAATATGTCGGGTCACAAACTCCTCCATATTCTCACAACCTCTGGGGGAGTCGCGATGACTTAAAGGATGGATCGTTTGTCTTCCATTGAGGTGAACTGGGCTCGAATCCCAGGTATGGCTGACGATATAAATTCCTCATCCGGCTTGCACCGACCACAGTGTTGACATGAAATGTCCTCAGTGGTAGACAGATGGATTAGAGTCCCCTTGGCATTATGCTGATCGAGGGAGTTTTTCGTGGTTTTCCTCTCTATGTAACGCAAACTACGTGTTAGTTCCCTCAAGTCCTCCACGAAGGCAAATTTCTCCCTATACTTGATCCAGGAGTTCTCTTGTTTTCTGGATCGGATTTAAAATTACAAGGCTGCGGAGTTGAACATTAGTAGTCTTAAACCCAAAAATTGGATTGGCTGTTCAACAACGGTTATAAAATAAAATAAAACACCTCTGGGGATACTGAATTGGAGATTGAACGCTTCCTGGTTCAGGTCAAAATAACGATCTGTGGATGAATAAACGGATGTATGAATGGGTTCGCCCTATAAACGGGTCACCACGTATGGGTGTCGAATTTTTGACCATAGATAGCGCCACTGGCAAACAAGAACAATCGCCCCCCCCCCCTGCCTTAATGGCCGACGACAGCAACAACAATAATGCTTACCAACAAGTGTTGGAACTTTCAGAAGTCTCATAAATTGTCCACCTAGGTAACAAAAGATGCCAAGTATGTAAAGACCAAACACTGGACCACCGGGTAATGTTTCAGTTTCCAGAAGTCCCCACAAAGTTCCATATACGAACCCAGCCAGAAGAATTAATGCACAAACAGTAGAAAAAGGAGCCATAGGTGGACATGTTGAAAAAGCTTTCTGTAAATGTTCCTTTTTACTTATTTCTTCCAAGTCGTCTGCTTCCACACTCATATTTCAAGATTATAAAATGGAAACGCCTAAAAAAATAAAATTCACGAAGTTTTAAGTTGGAACTTACAAATAAAACCATAGGAACAGAAATTTCAAAGAGCAAAACAAAAATAAAGCTACAAAAATTTAAGTTGTGTAATAAAAGAAACTTTAAGAAAAATCATACGCTTTAAATAATTCTCAATTTTTACAAAATTTGTTTCTTAAGATAATGTTAATGTTTCTTAAAATAATGTCTAGTTCTTAATCTTATTCAACATGACATTTGTAACTTTTTTATCATATCGATTGTAAAATTTTGCATAACTTTAAATTTAATTCTGTTTAATGGTTTATCTTAAACGTTTCTTGATAAGTTTTGTATTATAAAAAAAAGCAACAGTTTAGAAAAGTAGCTAACGCATCAAATTAAATTAGAAATTAAAGAAATTTTTGCACTTTAATATTTCACCCAACAACAATACCTAAGTATACATCCAGGCATGACAACTTGCAACAATGGTATTCAGGATTTGTGTGTGTGTTTTATTATTTGATTTAGTTAAATTTAAGAAAAACTTGTAAAACATAAATATAAAATGTCACTTTTTACTATGTCGTGATTAGACTATTACACGTGTGTCACCTTACCTCGTTTGTGGGAAAATTTATGATTTAATGCATGTTTTCATTTTTTATACTTTCCGGTTAAAATTCTTTGTAGTTCTTGCTATAAAACAGTTTATTTTACAATTTTAAGCAGGAATTATTTTTATAACTCCGCAAAAAAAAAAATTATTTAAGTATATTGTTTTTTTGTATTTTTATTTCAATTACTTATTTGTAGTAATAAATCAATAATTGTTAAACAGGGTTGCCAACTTTTAACGTTTCTTTTCTTGGGGTATTTTCTTCTAGTGGTCACTTGGCTCCACCTTCATCACATGGTATCCGACTGTACTATTTTTGCTATTTTTGGGAGAAGGATGTGATCAACATGCTGCACAAGGTTGCTATTTGGCGATCGTATGACAAAAATATTTATTTCGCAATCTTTATGTGCATTTTCTTAGCATTAAATATTTCATAAATTTGATGATATTTCTCTCTTTTGAGTGAATAGTTTGCCCTTTTTGAGACATTTAGCTGGGAAAACAGCAGTTTTTAAATTTAAAATATATTTAATTAGCTAGAGTAACGAAAGGTATAATATCATATGATAAAGCGAAGTAAGTGGCTGAAAAATAATTAACAGTTTGCGCTAAGTGCGCATTAAAGGGTTGTCTCAATTTCAAGTGCGGAGATGTTTCTCCTTTTCCCCGCTGAAATGAACTCAGCGTCCGAGGAGGTGGAGCCAAGCGCCAATACTGGTGAACGAACTATAGTTCCGTTTATGTTTTAATGTATGATTTCTTGAATTTAAATTTGATTTAAAGTCATTTTCCGCACCACTACATATAAATGATTCAAAAGTTCACATGAAACTCCAATCAGTTTTCCTCCAGCTTTCTCGAGGTGAAACTTTTAAAATGTTGGCAAAATTATCAAAAATACTGAAAGTTTTAGTTTTGCCTACCACTCTCTAAAATAGATAGGAAAAAGCATAGTCGGTGGCAGTCCTCGTTAAACTAAGACAAAAACGATAACTGCTACATTTTTAGTACTTAAAAATAGAAAGGAAATCTAACAAAATTCAAAGAGTTCGGTAGCTTTGTTCTGAGCATGTATGTCCTCAAATGATTAAAATAGTAGCGTAATAAACAATTAAAATAATCTTTTTATTTTTTTAATTTTGCGGTCACTAAAAATTTCACATCCCAATTAGCTGGTCTTAAAGATTTGTTTAAATTGTTTGCATACAGTGGCGGCCAAAACCGTTTTAAATCACATTTATTGAAACAAAAATAAAAATTTTGAATCTTAAAATTTACTAACACCTTAAATAATAAAAAAAAGAAGAAGAAAACTATACCCCAGGTTGCTTCTTTATGTGGGCAAATTTTTACTAGCTGTAGCGAAATTTATGTTTTAATATGTGATTATTGTTTTAGTAAATTAAAGTTTCGTAGTTTTTCAAATGTTTAACATATGTAAATAATATTAAATGCTGCTTACTTAAAAATACTTTGTATCAGTTATTTTGTGGTTAAATGATGGCAAAATTAACAAAATGTCTGCAAGCTTGAATTCTGAATTATTAGTAATTCTGAATTACTATTACCCCTTTATGAACCTCTTGAAGAAAACGATGACATCACAGCTTTTGAAGAGTCAACGTTTTTTTTTAATTTTAAAAATTAAGCGTTAATTAAATAAAATAAAATTTGCCAATTAACAGTTCCTGAATATTAATTAAATTTCTTTTCGTCGTGTGTATATTTAAAATGTTTAATTATATTCGCTTTCACTCAAATTTTCCCACCACAGTGACATTTTTATAAAGAAACTTTTTGGATCAATGAGTCCTTAATTAAAAATCGAATGATTTATTACGCGACGTGCTAACACATTAATTTTATTGAAGCTTGATTACGTTGATTACACATTACATTGATCACTTGATTACAGATTAATTGATTACATTGATGTATTGAAAATAAATACATTACCGTTTCCTATGGAGATAGGATGTGGGATATAAGATCTATTTACAAAATTATAACCTCCGCACTTATAGAAGGTAAAAGTAAATATCAATAAATATTTCATTGACAATAATAGCGAGTGTTTTTGGTGTTCCAAACCACGTACTCGTAGGTCTCGATCAGTTGAGGTTTTTTCATGCGAAATAAGGTATTTTCCAACAATTTATTTCTTTGTTTGAATCGTACAATAAAAAATAAAATAAAACTTTCTAAACAATTGATAACATTAAAAATAAAATTTCCATCAAAACAAAGGTTGTTAGAATAAACATTTTGCTATACTTTGAAAAAAAAAAGAAAAAAGAAAAAAAACGAGCCCATAACTTTTAGTTCTATTTGGTGTTTTGTAGATAATAAAATTTTCAAATGCTTCAATGTCAATGCATTAGATATTTTTTTATTATCTTTTATTTATTTATTTTTTGAAAAAAGGGTTGAGTCCATTTTCAATCGAATCTTTTAGAGAGTATTCGGGGATCATTTTAGAAAAATATTTTATAATTTTTTTTCTCAAATCCACGTGCTTTAAAAAAAAAAGATGAAATTATATACATCTTTGCATTAATAAAAATAAGCATTAATAGAAATAAAAAATATTATTTGTGTACTAAAAAGCAAATTTAATGGAGGAAAGATATTTATCCCTTTTGTGGACTCGAGAAATGCCATATTAATGTTAACAATAAAATGTACTATATTATTGTTAACTCCAAAGCTGGTGATATGTATCAATTAACAAATGCATCAATGTATCAATCATTAATTCTATACACATTTTGTAATTATCAAAACAAATACTGAACAATTTTAATACCGATACTGTGGAAAAAGGTCTTGCTGTTCTTCGGAAGTGATGGGTTAGAGGAAATTACTTGATAGTGGCAAATTTTGACTATTATGAGCAATAGCATAATGAGCATAATGCNTGTACTTTTACTTGTACTTTTTACTCGTTACTTTTTAAAATAAGAACTTTTTACTTTTTACTAGTTACTTTTTTTAAAAATACTTGTACTTTTACTCGTTACTTTTTAAAAGTAACGTTGCCATATATGCAACTAATATATTTTAGTTCGCTATGGTCACAAAAAAAGTCTTGGCTGGCCGGATGTGGCCCGCGGGCCGCCAGTTGGTAACCGCTGTTTTAGAAAATAAGATCATGTTCCTATAAGGAAAACATTGGCGTTTGAAAGGTTACGATAGGGAGAATTTTAAAAAATTTAATCTATTTGGCAAACTATCAAAAGTATAACTGCCGATGTCAAGGATCGTTCAATAGATATTTATGGTTAAACTATTGATCTTTCTTGCAACTCTTGCAAGTAGCAACCACAATGACTGCTTCACGATGATCTCAACTCATAGCTTAAATATATACATGATGAATAGGAAAAGGGGCGCTGCATGGTCCAGGAGCTGAGATGTTAAAACAAATTAGGACTAGGGCTAGCTAAGGAATTTTCAAAGAAATTATGTAAAATATTTTACTATGTATATTTTAAATGATTTAGTGTGTTTACATTAGTTCAAACAGCATGTTAAAGTACCCAGAGTGCAAATGGATATTAAGTAAAAAGGTAAAGGTAAAAAACAGAAACTACAAGCAACTGTTGTATTGACAAGATTAATATGAAATCAAAAACGGTTATAATAAAGTATTATTATTTCGTTTTTGAAAATTTAAAATTTTCTTTTTCAGTTTACATCCAGTTGTGTACGAGGTTGTTATAATTAAACTTAATTAGACTATCATGAAGTTCGTACTGGTTGACGGATATCGATGATATTCGGTGCATTGCATGCATGCGGATTGACTATGAGATTGCATGCATGCGGATTGACTAAATCTGCAAAAAATGAGAATTAAAATTTCAATTTCTCGAACTTTCTTAATGTATCGAATTTCATATAATTTTTTTTTCTAAAGTCAAGAGTTTGGTGACACAGAAAATAAATGAGGGTAAAAAAAGCTTAGTTAAAAAAGTCATTTCCTCATTTGTTCCCTAAAGCATTCTAATATTGCTCCAGGCTACAATCAACCCCGAAGTTTGTACTGTGTACTACAATGGATGGCATGGGTTAATGGACAAATTGATTTTAATGTGGTGACCATCCATGTCAAACTGACAACGGCATATGGAACAGTGTGGATCAGAGTCCAAAACAAAACTGCCGGTAAAGATGTGCAGCCATGTTCATGTTTTACGAAGTTACGAAAGTAAACCACGACCTCATGGCGTGCCCTTGCACTTCTTTGTAGTAATGTAATTCTTTCTACTTTGTAATTATCGGAAACTTTACTTCTAATTAAAAGTTTTAATGTTCAGAAAGGAATTAGATTCTTGTTGATCTGTTGTGTATAAGGTTCCCTTTTTTGGCCAATTCATGAACTATTTCGTTTCCCATGTCTCCAGGGGCGTACGCAAGGGAAGGGTTTAGGGGTTTAAACACCCCCCTTGAGCTCAGACAAAATGGCAAAAATAAAAATTTTAGTAGAAATTATGCGGGCTATTATTTTTTAAGACTATATATTTTTATTTGCCTTATGCCTACTTTTTTTTTCTCACGGTATTTCTCAGAATACTGAAAAAACATTTACTATAATAGGGTTGTACTTTTGAAACCAAATTCACGTGATACTGTTACGGACTGGTTCCTTTCTGTCCTGCCAGTATAGTTTTCGAGACTGGCTGTCATTCGCGAGGTCTTTACGCGATGATTCTGGAATCCTAGACGTTCTGTCGTCTTTGAGACAATTCGAGAATTTTGGAGATGCGGTGAAAAATTATATAAAAGGGGGGACGGAGTACAGTGGAGTTAGTTGTCAGACTAAGAGTTATCTCTGCCGCTTGTCTTTCGGAGCTCGTTGCTAAATCTGTTTCGTTTTGTCTTAACAAAAAGTTAATTCAATCGCTGAACCCGTCGCCGCCACTATTTCGACTAGTGAAGAAATCAGTAACAATACCATTGGAGATACTGTGCTTGTTGAAGTTATTCATTCCAGCTGGAAACTTTGAGATCGTAGCATAGCGGGTATATCTATGCAAATAAATATATGTATATATTTGCTGTTCTTGGATCTTTAGGATGCCAAAACGCAAGAATTTAACAATTTTTTAATCGTTTTGAGAAAAAAATCACGACCTGAAATTAGTGAGGTGGCGGCATCTGGTACCAATGTAAGTTTTTCTATTGAACAGAAATGTGATACTTCCGTTGAAGAAAACGATCTGATGAATGTGAAAGTGGCCCTCAAAGTGTTACTTCCCACCCATATGACATTGGACTTTTTTCAGAAGATATTACATGCGAGAAAATATTACACCTTAGTTCTTAAACTTAAAAAATCAAATCAAAATTTAACTAAACAATGCTGTCTGAATAAGAACTCAAAATTGTTAGCTGTCTAAATTAGGGAAATAATAGTGCTTTATTACATACTCGAATTTCTTTTAGTAGTTTCAGAAAATTATGAACACCCCCCTTGAAAAAATTCTGCGTACGCCACTGCATGTCTCAATGGTGTCTAAGGATCTAGGCGGGTGACGATTTGAGGGCCAATGCATTCCTACCATTAAACACAAGACTGCCCTTGAGTAAAATGGGATGACGATTCCTAAAAATGTGACATTGAAGCAGATAATGGTATTGTTTAGGGCTGTCATAAACCGGCAGTACAGTCAGGAATATAAGGAAGAAAATTTTTGCATAAAATAGTTTTATTAAAACTGAACAACTTTTAATCTCATTCACAACTCTAGTCTCAGTCTCTGAGATTCATAACCCAAATCATTTATCTGGCCATAAAAAAGTTATTTGGAAAGAAAAAAAAAATAAATAAAACGGGCAGTGCGGATGCTCTTTTGCATTTTCCTGCAAAACAGAGGAAGCTGAGGTCCGCATCAGCAAAATACCCAAAGAGAGATTTGCGTTTTGCTTACCTCCAACTCAACTTCACTTGTTTCTCCTCTCTTCTCCTACCCTTTAAAATTTTTGTGAACGCGACGATGGCTTTTCGTGTAATATTTCGATCTCCAGCGGTATATATTTTATATTTAATTCTTTGTAATTGTTTCTAATTTTTCTTAGTAACTGCCCTTTTTTTGTGCACCTGTTGTAAAGTATTTATGGGTGTTGCAATTGTTTTTTTCTGCAATTATTCAGAATTGTGACCTCTGTAAATCAAGGGCATTTATCTTACGTTTAAATTCAATAAATTTTAGACTATTTTAACATTTTGTTTACCATAGGTGTTAAACATTTTTAGTATAAACTTAAATCAAATGAGTTTGATCTCTGTAAAGTCTTAACCTATTGTCGGCTGTTGCTTGTAATGCATGCATTTACTCAAACTAGTCTATTATTATGCCGGTACTATATGTATCATTTCAGTAGCGTTTTTTTTAACGCAACTTTCATCAAAGCTATGTTTTAAATATTTTTCCTTTTGTTGCAGAAGATTTGCATGTGAAGAAATTTATTATGTATTGTTATTCTCAATTTTTAAGTAACGTAATGTCGTTGGTCAATCTAAAAGACGTAGAACTGCCTTCAATTTGAAAGATTTTGGTGTCTGAAATAAAAGCAAGGTTTTAAACTTGTCAGTATATACAAAATGAAATGTTCACATTTTTAATACGAATGTAAGATGAGTTATTTGTAAACTGTTATTTGATTTAATTTATGTGATTTGATTGTTGGGATTCCTGGTCTTCTAAGCTTTCTTTTCCACTGTGCGAACTTACGATTAATGAAATATGAGCCACATTAAAATAATTATCTTAAAGCAATATTGAGAGCTCCTGTCATGTAAAATAATTGTTAAAGAGATTAATTGACTGATAAAAAAAACGTTTAAAGAGGAACCAATTATTGAGGATTTTCTGTTTACTGTAGAATTAGTACATTTTGCATTGCTCTAAATAGAATAATTTCTTAAAACTTTGATTCTAGTTTTTCAAAATATATTAAACATTTACAAAATAATTGACATGTTTTGTGAAAGTTTATAATTACAAGTTTATTTTATAATGTTTTTAATAACTTTTCAAAATGTCAATATCATTGTGACGTTTTCAAAGATAGATTTTTTAAATAAATATATTGTACTAATTGAGTTTCAACTAAATTTAATATTTATTATAGTAATGCAAAAGGAACATGTTTTAGTATTTTAACATATGTTATCATTTGAGAAAGGTCTGAAATCATTGGGAAGCTTTTTATATTCACATAAATTTATAATAAATTAATCGCAATATGATACTTGCATCAAAAGTTTATTATTTGAGCTGAGAAGAAAAAGTTTTCAAACTGAAGTTTTTAAATGTTTGAAATATGTTTTATACATCTTTCTTTTGTATCATAAATATTTGGTGCAAGCAAATTTTTTCTGATTAAATTTAATTATTGTAATTTCATTAATTTTAGTCTATTCTTATTTACCTTTCTTACATTTTCAAGTCATTATTTGATATTTTATTTTAACCCAAATTTATTTTTACTTATTTGCTATGAATGATCCAATGAGTAGTGATAGTTGTTTTTTCTTTTAAAAGACCTATTGCATATTTTCTATTTATCAAATAAGTCTTTTTTGTATTATTGCTAAACATTTTCTTTTTTTCAAATTAACTTTTTCAAAATGGGAAGAGTAATGTGATATTTCAATATCTTTAATCTAAAATTTAGTATCTTGCCTGTTTAATAAAAAGATAAGTGGGTGTTAATTTTAAGTTTATAAATCTTATTAATTTTATTGATAAATTTCTAGGTTTTGAAAGGATATGATAAACAGGCTAGACTTTTTCATGTTTCGCCTCTTAATTATGCTGCCCATAAGGTAATTAGATAATCATTATTAAATAATTATTTAAAGTTAAATTGCGTATACTTATTATACCTTTCTCTCATTTCAGGTAGCCATGAGCAAATTCGATAAAGATTCGCTGATGCCATGTGAGAAACTTAAAAAAAATTTGGAAATAGTTCGAAATAGGTATACTGAAGAGTAAACTTTAAAATTTCGTTTTAAAAATAACATATTTTAACTTGATATATTAAATTGTAGATTATAAAATTTTATCCGAAAATTAACTTAAATGTTTATTTTTATTTCAAACTTTATTGATGTAAAATTTTCTAATCTCTTTTTCCAATTTTTTTAATATTTTTTTCTGATTGCAGGTTGAAAAGACCACTTACACAAGCTGAGAAAATTTTATATTCTCATTTAGATGACCCTCATAATCAAGATATAGAAAGAGGTACAAGTTATCTTCGACTAAGACCAGATAGAGTGGCTATGCAAGATGCCACTGCTCAGGTTTGTCTAGTGTTTTATTTTATTTATAAACTGAAAACAATAGTGTAATTTAATGTATATTTCTACTAACCAGTGAGATATAATGTGCCTAATTCGTTTGCATTTAACGTTTTTTTGTTATTTTCTTATTGAATCTGAGCAGAATTTTGTGCAGCTGTATTCAAGATCACATGTTTACATCAGGATAAGAATTTTTGTTCTAGGAATAGATTTTTAGAAGTAGATTTCGAGGACATGCCATATCTTTGCAAGTCCTCACATGAGTCAGATCATACTTTTTTTTTCGAGTTCAGTGCATCACTGTGTGTTATTTGAGTTATAACAAGGGAATGAAACCTTTATATGTTTCAAAGAATGTTAATACTACTGAAACTGCATCCAAATGTAGTTATGACGCTGAAGATCGAGAATGTTGTAGTAATCTTTATTCTACTACAGAATGGAGGCAAATAGAAAGTTAAAGCTCAATGTTGATTTCAACAGTTAATTTTTACATTCGCAAACAGAAAGTTGTTAAATAGCTGTAGAAAAAATGTCAGCAGAAAATTTTGGGTTGCCCATTTGAGTTATTGCTTTTCGACACGCTCGGTTTTTTATAGATTCCATAGTTTTTCAAAATTTATTGCTTTAGAAATGGTTTTAAAAATCTCAATATTTTTAATTGGTTATTTCGATACACAACTTTTATATATGAATAATCGTTTTTCAATGCTCATGCTTGTAAGTTCAATAGACTTTTTGATTTTTTTTGGGGTAGTAATATCAGGGTTGCAAAAAATCCACCTGGTTTGGGTTCTATTGGGCTTTTCTGGGTTTTTCATGTTTTAATAGGGTTTTTTTTTCAAAAGAGAGGGCTGGGATAAGTACCATATTTTAAAAGAGCTTATTTCAATATTAATAATTAAGTTTAATTTTATAAATTGACTTAACATATAGGTAACTAATAATTAATGCAAATAAATTGATGAAAAAGTCTGAAAAAAGTTTCTTCTGACATCACGATACAAAATGTTATATGTACTCACATCACACATTTGAAACTTGATTTAACACAGGATTACTTTTTATTTATATTTTAATCTTAATAAATATTTGAGGAAAATTTTTTATTTGCATAGAAAGCGAATCAATGGCAATGAATAATCAATACCCATACAGTCAAATCTAGCCAGCAAGGTGACTCTCTAGTCTCCAACACAATTAATATTTTCACTATAGGTTAATTTTTTTAGGCTGGACTTCATATATATTTCAATAGAATAGCTCTTTAATATAACAGATGATAAAAAAGAAATCAATCTTAGAAAAACCCACTTTAAGGTGGATTTTACTGGGTTTTTCAGAGTGGGTTTTACCCAGTAAAAACGGGCGGGTTTTGCTGTGTAGGTGGATTTTTTGCAACCCTGAGTAAAATACAAATCTTTTTAATATATTATTATGACACTCAATTTTTTTAAATGCACATTTGAATTACTTTTTTTCTGAATTTTTGTGCCAATTTTTTATAAATTTATCGCTTTGTTCGTTTCTCTTTAGATGGCTATGTTGCAGTTCATATCAAGCGGTCTGAAAAAGGTTAGATTGTCCTATTTTATATGTGTCTTCTAAAATGTTATAAATTTATTATTTAATAGTAAAATTTTTTGTATAACCTTAAAGATCGTTTGGGAAAAAAAAATATTTTTCAGAGTTCTGAAGTATATATTGAATGCGGGAATTTCTATTGTAATAATTATCTTTCCTTAATTAAATAAAAAAAATTAATCAATTAATCAATTGAAATTAATCAAGTTTTTATTAAATATTGGGATTAATATTGTTTGAATTTTATTAAATTGTTTTATTGTATACTATTTTGAAGAAAGTAAACAATTTTTGATATTCTATAATACTTTATAGATTTGGTTATGAGGAAAAAACCAAATTTGTTATTAAATTGATAGTTTATCAAATTATTTCTTCTCTACCAAAATTGATAGATCTATTACTGTTTTATTAGTATTTTCATAAAAATTTGCAAAGTTCAATTTGAAATTTTTACATCTTATTTTAGACCATTTTAATCTTTCATTATTTTAAGGCTATCTATTGTCTTTCTTATTGAAACCTACTCCAGGTGTTAAACAATTTGTTGATGATGTGATTATTTTTTTTCCTTAATGAAATATGCTTGTATGTTTTGATTGTATTTTGAAAATTTTCTATTTCTCTCTTTGATTATAAAGCACAGTTGATAAGTGTATTTAATAGTGATAAGTAATTTATTATATATTTTAAGCAATTGTTTTTGGAGTTTTTATTAGTTTACTAAAAATAAAGCATATATCTAATTTTTAAAATTTTTTTTATCCCTTTTTTGTAAGCTATTCATCAAGTTTTTTTTCTTTGTTTCAAATCTTGATACAGTCAATGGTGTTTTTTCATTTTCTTTCTTCATATTAGGTTGCTGTACCCTCTACAATTCATTGTGATCATTTGATTGAGGCACAAATAAGTGGAGACAAAGATCTTGCTCGTGCAAAGGTATGTCCAAATTTATGTTGCATATTGCTTGTGGGAAGTATTGTTTTTTATTTTTTTCATTGTAATCTTTTTATTTTTTCCTTAGGATATAAATAAAGAAGTTTATAGGTTTTTAGAAACTGCGGGTGCTAAATATGGTGTTGGATTTTGGAAACCAGGAAGTGGCATCATTCATCAAGTAAACAGCTTTATTGCTATTAATTAGAAATGAAAATATAATTATTTTATTTAAAAATGAAAATAAAATAAACTTATTTCCTGTAACTATTAAGTGTATTGTCTTACTGTGCTATAACCATGCTGATAACTTTGTTTTTAAATTATAGTAAGAAAGATTTTTATCAGTATTAACAAGAATAATTTAATTGTGTTTTTATTTTAATAAGCTATAATGTGATGCCATGAAAAGTGTTATAATTTCAATGTTATAGTTTAGGTTTATTTTATCTAATCAACCTAAAACCGGTTATATTAGATAAAATATAACTGGTTATGTTTTATCTAATTTTAAAGCTTAAAATATATATTTTAATGTTATTAAACTGTATTTCTAATAGCATTTAATTAATACTTCCATTTTCAGCTAGTATGTGAACTATAAAAGCCTTAATTAAAAACTTTATTTTAATATTTAATAAAATATTTTCACTATTTAATCTAATTTAATTAATTTTAATAACATAATTCTAAATTATGTAAAGAAAAATTTATTTTTTGAAAAATATATTTTTGGCTATAGTACAATTTCAATTAGAAAATTTTTTGTTACGAAAATTAAGCATAAGTTAACATATGTTTGAACTAAGTAATATGTCAGAAATATTTTTAGGTCATTTTGTTATTATTATTAGTAGTAAGTTGATTGCTGCAAATTATTTTTTCTAAGCGTACATTGTTCATGGGTGCCATTTTTCAATCTTGAGGACTGAAATCAATCCTGAGAAAAGATCTGTGGACTGAATTCCATCCTCAAATTTATATTTATTTCCAATTTGTTTTTAAATTAAGTTTTCAGAAAAAAATTACATTTCCTTTTTCTTTAAAGAAGAATGTAACGAATATTTTCTGTTAAACTAAAAAAAAAAAAAAATCCTTTTTTTATAAATTCATAGTTATTTTTCATAATTATTGCAAAATGTTCGCATGATGTTTCACCGCAATGAAAGAATTTGATTGACTAAACTTCAAAATCTGCTTGTGTAAACAAAATTTGTATTATTGAATCTGAAGGTTTTTTAAATTTGTTTTTCCTCCTTTCACATTTTAAAATACTGGACTGAGTTAATTTAAGATAATTTTTTTACGAATTGAAATTTATAGACATAGGATGAAATATTATTGATGATGTAATTAATAAGATGAGGTATAAATGCCTCCAAGACAAATTAGTGGTGTAATTCACCAACCAATTGGTGTAAAAATATAAGATTTTTTTAGGAAAAGTAATCATTAATGTAAGATGTGGACCATGTTAATTGGTCAATGATAGGAAAATCTAAATCAAACACCAAATCCCTGAAATCAGTACCAATAGAACTCTCACCAGCACACTAACAAGACTCCGGACAGGACACTTTAGGGGGATGAAGATTCATGGTGACGGAACAAGGACTTACTGCCTCTGCAAAAATTGCCCAGACATAGAACTAACCCCCATACATCTTTTCAACTGTCCCGCTATACTGGCGCAATTGCAGCAAATAAGTGACAATCCGTGGGCAGACTTCGTGAAGAGAATTGCCTTCAAATAGCAGATATTGTATGTAGGACCTTTGATCACATCTAAGATTATTTTCTGTCTATGACACGATACCAACCAACCAACCATGTTAATTGGTCAAAGAATAAGTTTAGTCTTTAATTTTTTTAAAGTGGCACCCGTGATTATTTTTACATGTAATTAAATTAGGATATTCAATGTATGTTTTTAAATTTTTTAATGCTATTATTGAGTATATACTTTTGTTCTAATGTTACTTTGCCAACTATTTAGGACTGACTTCTTTGTAATTGTTCGGCATGCAATGTTTGTATTTTTTTGAAATTTCCAAAAATTTTCCTGTTTATATATTCATTTCCTATTATTTACTTTATATACCTTATTTTGATATGTTTTTTATGGTCTGTGTGAAAAGAAGAATCCCTTTTTGGATTTTAGGAAACTATTCTCACTGATTAAGCTTTCATTTCACAATTCAGACCAATATAATTGATCCTGTTGTGCAGCTCAAGTAGGGCTTGTTTGAAGTTATTACTTGCCTCGTATTCGGTTGCATACATCAAAAGAAATAATGGCATAGGCTCTCAATTTTACTAGAACTTTTTATCTTTCAAATTTCTAATTAAATTAAATATTTTATTTTGCATGCTTTTTTTTAAAAAAACTTGTTACTCTGGGCTGGTTGGCAAGGCGTTGGACTAGTGTTCGTGCGAACGGGAGTTTCAATCCAGCTGGCTGGAGAAGCCCCCCTCTTTTTTTTAATATCCGTCGTTGAACAGCCGACCCAATTTTGGGTTTACGACTGCTAATGTTCAACTCCATAGCCTTGTAATTTTGAACCAATCCAGAAGACAAGGAAACTCCTGGATCAGCAGCCCCAGTGCTATTGATTTGTTATGGAAACATGTAGGACTTTGAGACTTGACAGATTTAAGTGCATTAATCACAATTTACTACATGAGGAGTCTTCGGCCGACGTTGATCGAATCCACGAACTCTTAGACATGCGCTCAGTGCCCTACAAACCGGGCTATCCTGACCATTAATGGAGAATCCCTTTGTATTAAATGGTAACTGATGCACGTTAAATTTGTGATGATGATCCCCTCCCAATGAGGTGATCCGGGTTCGATTCCCAGCTATTCCAGGTCGAAACGAATTCCCTACCTGGCTCGCACAGACTACAGTACTGAGGTAAAATATCCTAAGTAGTAGACAGATTGTGGGTTAGTCTCGTTGCTGTCAGGCTAATTGTGAGTGGTTTTCATGGTTTTCCTCTTCGTGTAACCCAAATGCGGGTTAGTTCAATCAAAAAGTCCTTCATGAAGGCATATTTTTATCCAAAATGTGGGTCTGCTGTTCAATGACTTATAAATTTTTTTTTCTCTGTTAAAAGTGTTATTTATTAAATTTATGTCAAGTATATAGTGCATTTGAAATGAGAAATGTAAAAACATGTCTTGGTTGTTAGGAGATTTTATCTTAAAAAATTTTCAGTGATTTTGAATCTTCTTAGCAAAAATAAACATCATTAATTTTCTTTTTCTAGTAATGCTTGTATAATGATTAAATGACCCCATGTAAATGTCTCTTATTAATACACTTCTAGTTTTTATGCATAAAATATTAAATCTATTAATGTTAATTTTTTTATATATATATTTATATTAGTTAAACCATAATGTTCTTTCCATAAACAAATTTGTAGAACTTGATCTGTAAAATGTTAGATTTTGCATGAATAAACCTTATTAATTCATAAGGGAGTTTAAAGAAAAATCTATCAAGATGTTTAATTTTAATGCAGTTTTGAAAAATATCTATTTGCATTATATTTTTCCCATGTCTATGTAAAATTTATGTAAGGATTTGCATGGATTTAAAATTTCATTAAAAAAGAAAAAGGAAACCAAGATTATATTCCCTAATATTTAAGGCAAACTTTATGCAAAGTGAGAGATCTTATGAAAAATGTTTCTCATTTAGCCAGACCAGCTGGGAGCAAAAATAATTTTCTCAAAACTATTTTTCAGGACAAAAACATTATTTTTTGAAAACTAAAGCGTCAATCTTATTGTAAGTTTGTTTTCTTACTTTTTCCAGGTTGAATTGACATGGTATCTTTTTTATTTTCATTTTGAGTCAACTTATAAGACAAAATTTTTCCGAAAGCAATATTTTGTTTCATACAAATCTGCAAACTGTTATACTTTTCTATCTGAACTAGGTAAAATTTCATTAAGGTGTGTTGGTGTTTAAAAATAGTGTCTACTGTGTGGTAACTTTTATATTAGGGATCATCAAAAATAAGTTCTAAATGGATAAAATTTAAGACTCTTTCGATACGTATTTATAAAATATTTTTTATGCTGAACGTTTAAATAATTGAGTTCTTTTATACATAAGTCAATGGAAACATCTTTACTTCTTTAGAATCTGTGTAACCCGTTGATGTTTTTTTTTACCCAATTTGCACAGGGGTTATTCTGTTCTTTACCTGCTTTGACTGTCTGTTTTTTTCAACTGCATATTTATGCCAAATCATATAAGAATCACTTTTTTTGTTACAGTATGTATAAGATTTGAAGATTTACAAGCTTTTCTTATTTTCTTTTGAAAGTTGATGGTTGTATTGAGAATTTTTGCCCCTGTCATTATTACTCCTGTTTCTGTGCATGCTCAAGCTCTAGATTATTTATTTTAGACGTTGGTAATGGTGATGATTTTTATGTATTTTTTTTTTAAATTTCAGTTTTAATCTTTTATTAAAATTTGTGAATAATTTTTTTTGTTTTAGATTATTCTAGAAAATTATGCCTTTCCCGGTGTCTTACTGATTGGTACTGATAGTCACACTCCCAATGGAGGTATTTAATACTTAATAAAAGCCTCATGTGGCTTAAATATTTTAAAATTTAAGTTTCAAATGTATTTAAAATTTTTAAATTTCAACAATAGGTGGCTTGGGTGGGCTCTGTATAGGAGTTGGTGGAGCTGATGCAGTTGATGTTATGGCTAATCTTCCTTGGGAGTTGAAGTGTCCTAATTATATTGGAGTGAAATTGACTGGAAAATTAACTGGTTGGACATCACCAAAAGGTATAAATATTCAGATTAAAATTGTTATCAAAAGTTTTTAGATATAAAATTATATGTTAAATACAAAAGCTTGAACAATTATCTCCCCTTTTCTTATATTCATATAGATAAGCAATTACTTTATTTGTAACTAAAGATGAATAGATATGAGTAAAAAATCTCTTTCTAGGTCAGGTTTTTTGCCTTTTTAATTTTCTAAAATACAAAACTGTTAGAAGCATTTTTCTTTTTACATGATTGTAGTAAAAGTTCTTTAAAAATTTTCTCTGGCATTAGAATTGTTATTTAGATCAAATTTGTTATGAAATATTATTGAAGCAGATAGTATTTTGAAAACATTTAAAAATTTACTTCCTTTTATTTCCTTTTTGCATTTTTTTTTACATATCTATTTTAGTTTTAGATTTTTCAAAAATGTTAAATGCTTACAACATTGTCCATAATTTTCTAGTGTGCACTTTTGAAAATGCATAAAATTTTTATCCACTAATTTATGTATGGTTTGGTTTTACCATCTAAGTCTTGTGATTAAATTAATAGGTTTATCTCTGTATATCTTAAAATGTTTTTATTCCATTATTCTAAGATATGAATGTTTCTCTGATTCTATATTTGCTGACTTAAGATCTATTAGTCAAATATCAATTATTTCTTTTTAAGTGTGTAGCTAAAATTATAATTTTGTAGTTTTAAATTTTGATTTTATTTCTAAAAACACCATAAACATCATATAAACAGTTCAATGCTGGTATATTTGCTGGAGTTATTAGGATGTGACGATTTTAATGTCTACATGGGAACTTTACAAAAAACCTTCTCTTCACAATTAGTTTCAATGTTTTCAAAATTCACTTAAATTTTAGATAAAAATGTTGTATTTAATTATAAAGGCATCATGTAAGCAATAAAATTGTTGATTGATAAATTTATCACACATTATTGTTTTCTTTATGGTTTTAAACAGGGTTGGGATTTTTGACTTCCTGAACTAGTTTTTGACAGGACACGTGGGTTTTACTGTCTTAAAGTGTACAAAACCTTGAACACTGGTAAAAGATATAAATTCTCTATGTGTAACCAATGTACGCTTAATAATGACATATATTAATAAATATTTGATACTTTTTATACAATTTGCTTTGACTTATTAAAGGAAAATAATAATATAATAGGATAAGATAATTTTTGAAGCTCCACAATTCATTGAACAACAAAAGTGAATACCTTATCCTTTAAATATAAATAAATATGCATTTAATAATGATAAATTATGTTTTTTCATGAGGATAAATAATGCAGTATTAAAAATATAAACATTTTTAATAAATCAAAAACTTTTCTTCATTTTGTTTCTTATTCAAAAATTTACCTTTTATTTTTCTCAATATTTCTTAAAAATTTTGACATAATTTGAGTAAAAAGGTTTTGGTCAAAGGGGTTTTGGACAAGCCACAGTTTAAACCCTGGTTTAAACTGTGGGTTTATCCATTCTGTCCTAAACCTTGCCAACTCTGGTTTTAATAGTTTATTTTTATTCAATGTTTATCCTTTTTACAGTCCATTCTTTTATTATGTTATGTTATTTCAGATTTTATGTTATTTCAAATTTAATTGTAGTTATTTACAGAAACAAGCTATTCTGTGACTAAACATTATGCATTTAAAAATTAGTTTCTTTTGTACATCCTATATTTGTTCCACTTAATCATTATCGCATTATACTTGAACAAAGGCATTTATTTTTAAAGATTATTTCTTGATGTACATAAGTTAATGTCTACTGATTTATTGTTTAAATGTAGTTATTTCTATAATAATTGCTTGTATATGGTAGATGTATTTTCTTGTATGGTCTGTTAACTTCACCTGAAGTTTTGGTTCTTAGTATTTTTATTAAGTTACCATTATATATTTTGTAGACCTAAACAAACAGTATTGCATATACAGGTGCAGTGTGAATAAAGTTTATCACATTGTGTATTTTATGCAGACATGCTTTTCAATCTATATTCATTTCATCTTATAATTGTTATTAAGTTTTGTTAATTGTTTATTTCTAGATGTTATACTCAAAGTTGCAGGAATTTTAACTGTAAAAGGTGGCACTGGTGCTATAGTAGAATATACTGGACCAGGCGTTGATTCAATATCTTGCACAGGTAGAGTTTTTTGTCTATTGTACTATTATCTGTCATCTATTCTCATTCTTCAATTTTATATTCAAAGAAGTTTTGATAATGTTTGCCCATACAGAAGTAACTTTATAGAATAATTTTTTTTTTACTTGTCAAAAATCCATAATTTTATTATTCCACCACCTAATTTTTTCAAAATTCTGCACATTTTTTTTTTTTTTAATTTTTATTTTTTTATTTTATAGATTGCTCACAAATGTCAAATTCAATTATGAGCATACTGTATTTTTAAAGAATATTTTTTTGTTTTCTGTTTTTAGTAAATTTATCATTGTTACTATGTAATCTTTAAACAGATAAAAATAGTTCTTGTTCAATTAACCTTTGTATTAAACTGTATATATAACTGCAAATATTTAAATAAATGGAAGCATTTTTTACAACTAATGTACTGAAGTAATAAAAGTATTTTTGTTGTGTATTTGTATATCTTTAGTTTATTTTTGAAATTAATGTAGAAAAAACTGTTTTCCATCTGAATTTATTTATCTGTGAAATATTTTAACAGGTATGGGCACAATATGCAACATGGGTGCTGAAATCGGAGCAACAACTTCAGTCTTTCCATATAATAAAAGAATGAGAGATTATTTAGTTGCTACAAAAAGGCAAGGTGTGTTTATTTTTATTAACATTTTATGATTTGTTTTATTCAGTGCATATTTTTATTGAATATAAAGAAAATAAAACTGGTATGGAACATATAGACTATAATCATTACAAATTCTTAATTTACACTATGAACACAAAATTACATTTGTTACTTGTCTGGTAGTAGAAACTTTGTAGCATAGCAGCTGACTCTGCAGATTATCATGTCATTCTGATTTATAAAGATGATATATAATAAAAACATAAGTGTAATAAAAGCAAATATATATATATAAATTATGAAAATATTTTTAACGTGCTATTGCTATTCTTTTCTTTGTTAAAATAAAAGTGGAAAAGGACTATTTTTTTTCAATAAAGAGTAAGACTCATTGACTTTGTTCTTTTTATGTTTTTTACTGGGAAAAATTCTTACATTTTATATGTAATTAAGAAAAATTTTTTTTTGCTTGTGTGTTTTAATTAATGTACTGATTATATTATGTTTTAATTGTTAGTGTAATTTTAATGATTTATAGGTGAAAGATGTTTTTAAATACTATATTGATAGCGCAATTTTTTTTTCTTTCTTTTATCAGAAAAACATTTTTGATTCAAAGCGTTTTTTCTTTATAAATATACAGATAGACATTTTTTTTTAAAAAAAACAACTTAAAACAATGTATTTTCTGTACTATATCTAAAAATATTTGCTTGCTAATTGGATGTATTTGCTACACTTTTATATTTTCTTTAATTTTCTTTCAGAAATTGCTGAATTGGCTGATGAATACCGCGATCTTTTGACACCAGATGAAGGATGTAAATATGACAAGGTTATTGAAATCAATCTCGATGAAGTATGTGTATAATTTCAGTTTTAAGTTGCATTTAAAGCATTTATTGGTTTTTAATTAGTTTAACAGCTGTCCATATGAATTTTCCTAATGAGGTGCATTATAGATGCAGATAATCACACATCTATACAATTACAAAATGGCAAAAAGATTTAATGGTAAATTAAATGAGCTTATTATGATTTATTCGAATGACTTAAGAAGTAATCAGTATTTATAACTGTGTTATATGCTCTGATTAAAGGTCACTGAAAACAAGGGATATTGAGCTTATAAATATTAATATTTTAGTTTTTAAAGAATACCACAGTTGTTACTGGGCAATTAACCAATGCACCAGCTTTGCATTTTCTTTGAAAATATACTTATCTGTGTCAAAAGTTTAATTGTTTATATACTACTACTAAATGAAAGTAATTGAATTAAAGGAAATATACATAAATATGAAACTGATTTTAGAAGGAAAATATTATAAAAATTAATTTAGCNTATGTATATATAGATATATATATATGTATATATATATGTATATATATATGTATATATGTATGTATATGTATATATGTATGTATATGTATGTATATATATGTCATCTATTATCGGCATTTGGTTGATTGTTTTGAATGAGCTGATTTTTTTTTTACTGTGATTCCACAAATTTCAGTACCTTTAATTTAATATACGGGTGCCAATTAATCTGCCTTTATTTCTCTAAACAGTCTGGGTAATTAATGAGTAATTAAAACTTCATTGAATTTCTAATCATATTGTTGGATTTTTATTCTTGTTTAAATGACCACTTTAATTTTATTCTAATGTACACTTCTATACATAGTTTTACTAAACTTTAAAGCATTCCTTATGATCGAAATATTTTAACCTGTATTTGACGTAAAGTTAATGGCTTTTGTATTTTGGAATGTGGAAAGGTTTCCAGGCTTTGGTCAGTCTCAGAAATTGATAGCTGAACCTTAATAATAGTTAAGGAGTTTATTATTGTATATTTATATTACATTTGCTGAGATGGTTGTATTACTTCCTACAATTTTTTTAATCATTTAAATTTTTTTTCCAGCTTAAACCACATGTTAATGGACCATTTACTCCTGATTTGGCTCATCCGATTTCGGAGTTGGGTGCTAATGCTAAGAAAAATGACTGGCCATTAGAAGTAAAAGTGGGTGAGTCAGCAAATTTGGTGCTTTTGTATTACGCTATGATCATAAGCTACAAACCTTTTCTTGCACTTTAACTTTTTGCTTATGGGTGGTACAACAAGTGGGCCAGGATAACAGTCTTCACCATTCACAGGGCCATTAGAAAGGGGTTAACATGGATCACTTTGTTTTGTTACCTCATCCAAATTACATTAACTGAAACATGAAATAATTTTTTAACATTGAGGAATCTGCTTCTCTTTTGTAGTCAGTGTATCTGATCTAAAATAATTTATTTATCATTATGAAGCAGTCACATTGAAATATAAATTTATGATTACCAAATTTTATAGCATTAGATAATTTAAACATTTGAAGTTATTTTTTGCTTGCCAGTTATTATTTGCATTGGTGAGAGCATGTTGGGATCCCAAAACGCTTTGGGAGAAGGGAAGCGTCAGCCACTCTGTTCCTTAATTGAAATGGAAACAAAGGCGCTAGTACCAACCATGCAAACCCCGTTCTCGTCGCGATCTATAGAAAAAGGGGCTTTTCTGCCAGCTGTCTTCTATGATTGCGTAGCTCGTATTTGGTCAGATAGTGCTGTGTGGTAAGCCTAACTGGTTACTTGCAGCATATTATAGCAAGCTTTTTTCGTAGTGATTTTTTTAAAATCAAACGAAGCTCTAACTTTTCAGGAAGTACTATGCAACCATTTTAAACATTATTCTAAATAGACCTTAGTTTTTATGAAATTTTTTTTTCTCTGTGCAACTTGTTTCTGTATGACCAAATCGAAAAAGTTCTTAGAATGAAAATGCCTTTTTTGCTAGTACTGTTAAATGCATGTTTTTATTAAATTCAAGTTGAAATTTAACTATGGGCAATGATTTTTACGGATTTTTCTGTATCAAAATTTTTTTTAACGTATGAGAAAAATATATGTAGAAATTTACTAGTCATAAGTAATTTTTCATTTGTAGTAACAATTTTCGAAATTTTTTTTTATTTTACCATAATTTTGTGTTGATTTCTTAGTATGATATCACTAATCTCTAAATTTTCACAAAATAGGTACCTCTTAAAAACCTAGACTGACCCCCTGATAAACTGAAAAAAATATCTTGAATTTGGATATAGTAAACTATTTCTTATAGCGTGATTACTACTGTATACATAGTTCGCCATAAGGGGGCTCTACTGTATAAAGTAATTAATTACTCATAATAATAAAACAAGACATAGTAAGAAATTATCGCAAGTTACTCCCAATTTCTAAATCAAACTTTATATTTTAATACTTTTTAAAACACCAAAATCTGTTTAAAAAATTAATTTTATTGTTGTGAGAATTAAATTTATGTTCTCTAATAGGATTAATTGGAAGCTGTACAAACAGCAGCTATGAAGATATGTCTAGAGCTGCATCTTTAGCAAAACAAGCATTGGATCATGGTATCAGGTCTAAATCCAAATTTATCGTTACTCCTGGATCAGAACAGATAAGAGCTACAATTGAAAGGGATGGTCAAGTAAGTAACACTATATTTAATATTAAATAATTTTTAAAAAAAGTGAATTTTTTTTTTTAAAAGGAAAGGAAGCTAGAACATGATAGATTCAGAACAGAAGCAGTTCTGGCCTTTTGACGTTGAGCTTTAACAGTATATTTTAGTGCCTAATTGACCCTCTTGCCCCTTTCTTTTGCTACTTTTAGCATCTTTATGTATTTTTATTGTAAGCAAAAGTTTCCTTTTGATCTAAAGAAAGCAAAAGGAGAGAAGCATTTGGTTTACAATCATTATTCTTTAATATTTATGATTTTTTTTTTAAGTGCATTTATTATCTATCAGCTAATGCATTTATTAAATAATGATAGAACAAAAAATCAAAATATTTGTGCTATTCATATACAGCATACGGCAACAAAAAAAAATTTTAATACATTTGTAAGAAAAATTGTTTGTTCGAAATTTTATCCCCTCTCCCTGTAATTACAAGAATGAATTAAAAAATTCTTTTGTTTTCATTTCACATTGAAACCCTATTGAGTGCAATTCTCGAGCTTTTTTTTTTATTGTTTTCAGGCTCAAATCTTAAGAGAATTTGGTGGTGTTGTACTTGCAAATGCTTGTGGTCCATGCATCGGACAATGGGATAGGTAAGTGCTTTTTTTGTATTGTAGAATACTACACAATTGCATATACTTTTTGATCTTAAAATTGGGTGGTTTTCCATCGGAAAAAATATGTAAATGCACATATCAACTTGTTCAGTCCTTTAGCAAAAGTCTTTGTGAAAGCAATGTTTATATTTTAATGAGTTAATAAGAGCTTTTTAATTTTAAAGAAAATTGTTTTTCCCGCTTCATACTGCCACCTCACTTGAATTTTTTCAAATTTCCTTTTTATGTTTAGAGTGTTTACAAAGCTAATTTAAGATTTGATCCTTGTTTCTAAAGATTTGATTTAAAATACATTTTACTGACACAACATGCAGATTGTTTAATTATATAAGAAAAAGTCCAGCAATTCAGTTTGATACAATTTTAAGTGTTATCAAAATTGAAATAATTAAACATGTTCAATTTTTATTTATTTAGCAGTAAATGCAGTTCTTGCCATAAAATGTAAAAGTTTTAAGCTATGCTATAATGACAGATCAGTACTTCAAATATCAGTACATCAAACATTTTGTACACACTCAAATCTTGTTGATAGTACCAAAAATCTTTCCCTATAAACCTAAATTCATATTAATTCATAAAATGGTGTGAATTATTAGATTTGAAAATATAAAATACTAAATTGAAGAATTGAAGGGATATATATCTGTAAATGAATGAGAAAGTAAAATCTGAATATTTTATATTTCATGCAATTATATTTTTATTAATTAGACTTAAAAAAAAATAATTTACTGTCTTTTGCTTGAAATTTTCTACATTTGTTAATTATCAGAGGGGAAATAACCTATGGTGATCCCCTACTCGAGAGTATTCTACCCATAGCATTTTAACTTAAATTATTTTAACTCAGCTTTTTTCTGTTTAACCATAAACTCAGATGTAACATTTTAATTTCTCATTGCTAAGATTATGGATATTCACTTGAATAGGAAATGACCAAGGGTAATCCCCCTCTGGAATATCTGTGCAATATTTTTGACTCCTAACATCGATAGAAATAGGACATATATTTCCCTCACACTGACCACTTTACTGCCATTATCATAGTTGGCTACAGACTGCAGTACAGATGAAGCAGTGAGGTGCCCACTTCACAGGGAGATACTGTGTTCAACTTCAGTTTAAGTGTTAATTATAAATGATTTACTTTTTTCAAATTGTCAAAAACTGATTTTTTTTTCTTTTTCAAGGTTTGCAAACTGTTCTTGTATCTTGAGATTTTGGTAGCTTTTTTCTAAACAATTTAATTATACTTGTATTTTATCCCTGCATCTTAAAAATGAAAATTTTTTTTAATGTAATTTCATGTCACTTAAAGTGTTATGTTGCATATCATTTTAGGAAAGATGTTAAAAAAGGAGACAAAAATACAATTGTATCATCATATAACCGTAATTTTACCGGACGAAATGATGCAAATCCTGCTACACATGCATTTGTCACCTCTCCTGATATGGTTGTTGCATTATCTACAGCTGGAACCTTAGATTTTGATCCCCTGAATGATGAATTAACTGGAGCAAAAGGTATTGTTTTTTGGTTACGTTGTTGGTACTTATTGGAGGGCTCATGTAAATTCAATAATAATTGTAATTTTTTTTCTCAAAAAGTAAAGAAAAAATATTTAAATAACTGTTTTTAATTTTTTTATTGGTGCCTTTATTCTCTGGTTCGGTTAAAATCGAAACATTTGAAACTAGCTTGAAAATTAAATTGATAGGGGAGCTTTATTTCAATCTCTGCTTCTAAGACAGACCTGATGATTCAAGTCCTATAGGTTTTTGAAATTTGTTTATTTTAACCTCTTATTTAAAAGCACTAAGAAGCGCTTATTTTTCATCAGTAATCTTAGTTTTTTAATTTATTTTTTTTATAAACTGTAAAAGTAATTCTTTTTCGTCTGATTGACATAATTTCATTTTATGATTGATGGATTTCTTTTTAGTACTAGATCAGCATTAGAACTAAGAATGAATGAAAATTGTCAATGAGTCTAATTTAAATATGCTCGGGCACAGGTATAAACAGCAGTTAAAATACTCCAATTTTAACTGCTAACAGTTTAAAATGGAATAGACTTATTTTTATTTTTTTTAAGTTTAATTTTTATGTAATTTATTGTATAATATACTGACTTACAGAGTTGAGTAAGAATTTTATTGTTTACTAGATTGAAAGATTGTTTTTTTTTTTTTTTTTNTTTTTTTTTTTTTTTTTTTTTTTTTTTTTTTTTTTTTTTTTTTTTTTGCATATTGGTGTGCTTTTATGAATTAAACTATAAAAGCATCTTTATTGGGTGTAATACATTTATGAAGTATATTCTATGAAGATGTGTTCAAGTACTTAACAAGAAATAAAACTGTTTTTTACTGGTATATTAATTAAGAATTCAATGTTGCGAAACTTAACCAGTCTTTTTTTATTAATGTTAATTATGACATAATTAAGGTTCTCCCTTTTGCTTTTAATATAAATTCTATTCCTCATGCTTAATTGTGTTAATAAGTTACAAAAGTACACACTTGTGCTCCTTTATAACCTCTAATTATTGTATTAGATATGGATTACATGGTACTGACTGTAATGCTTTAGTTTTTGACTAGTTACTGTAAATCTCCTTAATATTAAATTTTTTTTTTCAATTTTGCCTCGTATTATTCTATTCAAAATAAGATGACATTATACTGCAGAAAACTTTTTATTACACATTCTGTTTCACATCTATAATTTAAGTGAGTTTAAGCAAATCTAGATTAAGCCATGAAGTTTCCATAGCTGGAAATTTCCAAATCAAAATATGAACAAATTATTGGGGGAAGAAAAAAAAAACTTTTCCATTGCATAGTCTTAAATTATATTCTTATAATAGCATTTTCGAAGTTTTTTTTTTTTTTTTTTTTAATCAATATAGTTTTTCTTAAAGGCCCTATAGTAGAAAATTACAAGTAAAAGTAGGTAGTTGAAAGGATCACTAATTGATATGAATTTTTTCAATTTAATAATTCAATGATATGTACCACTGTACTGTTACATAAAAGTTCTATGTTTAGTTTGAAATTCTACAATGTATTTTTTAAAAAAAAAGCAAGCTATAAGAATACTGTGCTTTATTTCCCCTCTCCTTTAAGGAATACATTGTATTGGTAGCTTTTTTTCCTCCTTTAATTAATATGTTGTATTAGTAGCCTTTTTCATCTCATTTTTAGGCGTGCGTTCAATTTCTGTATTTAGTATCCTTAGATTGCGCAGATTCTGACGGCTTTAAAATCAAAGCCATAATGGTTTATTCTTTTTAGCCTGTTTAATAACTGTAAATTTATATCTGATTTATAAATTAATATTTCGAACTATTATGAGAAGTAATATTAAATATCAATTATATTTATGCTGTATATAAAAACTATCATTGTATGTTATATTTTTTTAATATGGTACGAATTATTTTATTGCTTTTTTTGGTTGTATGTTTAATAATCTTAAAACTTATTTCAATTGTTTAGGAGAAAAATTCAGGTTTAATGAACCTACTGGTGATGAATTGCCATCTCGAGGTTTTGACCCTGGCGAGGACACCTTCCAGGCACCTCCTGATGACGGATCTTCTGTGAACATTGATGTTGACCCCAAAAGCCAGAGATTGCAGCTTCTGTCTCCATTTGACAAATGGGATGGAAAAGATTTAACTGATATGCAAGTTCTCATTAAAGTAAAATAAAAAAAAGCATTTACATAGTTTCATATTAACGAAGGTTGGAGTCTCTATGTCGTAAGCTAGGACAGTGTTTTTGAAACCAGAAAGTGGTTATTAATATTCGAAGGGATTATTTTTATTTTTTTCCGTTTTGGTTATTTTAATTTAATCCAGTAACAGCTGAATTTCTTCTGCTCTGCTGCGTTTTTTTTCTTTCTTTTTTTCTAAAAGATCAAAACTAGCTGTTCAAATTTTTTCCAGGAAGAAAAAAAAGACTGGAATTTACCAATAATAGAAGTAGTAGTAATATTTTAATCTGAAATTATCCAGTTGCAAAATTTTTTTAAAACTGAAGATGTTCTCACATTAGAAATCCACCTTTAATGCTTATTTTCCACTTTTTGTCAAAAAAGAAAAAATTTATATCAATTTTAATTGTCAGAGGGTAATGGTTTTAAATAAGCTTATGGATTCAATTTTTGTCCAGTATATATCTTCTCAGTGTCTTGGTAAGTTTTTTTTTTCTGTATAAATTCTCTTAGCGGTACACAAAGCATGGAGCAACTTATTCACCACTTTCAGTTTTCAAAATGCGCTGTCTTAAAATTTAAGAGTAACTCCAACCATTTTTACTTTTTGACTTAGCTCAGCTGTAAAAGTTTTGAAGTCAGGATATTATATTCTTTTAATAACCTCTACTTGTTCTTAAATTTTCAATGTTCGCAATTATATCAGGGTTCCCACGGTCCTNATATAATTTTTAAAATTGGTCTTAGATTAAGGTCCTTGAAAATTTTGTTCAGGTCCTTGAAAAGTCCTTGAATTTCAATCTCATCATAGAGTGGGAACCCTGTATGCATGTAATACGTGAAATCAGACCTAAAAAGTGCATTTACGTAATTATTTCCATAAACCTTTTTTGTTAATGTAACTTAATGGTTTCACACTGATTTGTTAGTATGTCCAGGGTCTCTAATAAATCAATGTAGGTGCAGATTTATTTTAAATGCACAATATATTTCTAAATTTTCTATTATATAGTTTATTTTTACATAACTTTAGTCTGTTTCTATTCTCCTAACCTTTAATTAAATATATTTTTAAAATTAGGTTAAAGGAAAGTGCACAACTGATCACATTAGTGCAGCTGGCCCTTGGCTTAAGTACAGAGGTCATTTAGATAACATATCTAACAACATGTTTATAGGGTATGTATTAAATAAACCCATTTTCGTACATCTGTTTTAGTGTGACCAACTCCGAATTTCTGTGGAATCTTAGTTCTATGGTCTGTTGCTGAGCATTACCATGGGTACAGGGACCTGGAATCCTTCCCCTTCAGATCTATGTTTAAATTGAGGAGGTGGCCTCACAAAATTGTGTTGACATGTCTTTGGATTATCCGCAGTGATGTTTCCTAGATTGTCGCCAATTGCTCATTGTGCCAATAGACCTACCTACATTTTTTTTTGTCATTTACTTTTATGTCAGAACAAGAATTTTAACATAAAATCTATATTTTATGTAGATTTGTTTTTTTTCTGTTTAGATAATTTTCACATTTAGATTGTATTTCCTTTCCATGAGTAAAGTTAGTCTACTCAGTCACTTTCAAAACATTGTATTTGGAACAATTTTTTAAAACTGCAATATTTAAGCTTTTAATATGGTGTATATTATTGTGTATTTTGTATATTATTGTGTATTTTATATATTACTGCAATATTTAAGCTTTTAATATGGTGTATACAATGCAACTAAAGGTTAATACGAGGCCTTTCTAAAAAGTATCCGACCTTTGGCCAGAAAAAATATTTCGAATGCCTGATGAAGTTGGGACCCTAATCCCCTTCAAAGTAGGCCCCTTGTGCTTGCACACTCTTGGCCCACCGATCGTTCCACAGCTGGAAACACCTCTGGAAGTCTTCTTTTGGAATGGTGATCAGCTTCGTCGTCGCGTTCCACATTATCTCTTCTCTACTCTCGAAACAGGATCCTTTCATTGGCGTCTTCAATTTTTGATACAACCAGAAGTCGCAAGGAATCAGGTATGGAGAGTAGGGAGGTTGGCGAACGGTTGTAATTCCATGTTTGGTTAAGAAAGTGTGGATCAATTGGACTGAATATGCAGAGTTGTCATGATGCAATTGCCAGTTGTTCGCCCTCCACATGTCTGGTCTTTTGCGTTGAACTGCGTCACAGACTGTATTTATGTTTCTGCGTCGTACCCGTACACCCATGACTCATCTCCAGCGATCACGGTGTTCGGAAACCCAGGATCAGTGTTGGCTGTGTCCAGGAGGTCCTGTGCAATGTCAAAATGGATGTCTTTTTGTTCCAACGACAGCAACTTGGGTACGAATTTCGCAGCCACTCGGTTCATGTTCAAATCTTCACACAAAGTTGCATGTGCAGAATCTTTACTCACTCCCACCTCTTCTGCAATGACCCGCACTGTCAAAAGATGATCTGCCATCACCAAATTCGCATTTTTTTTATTAATAAATATATTTATTTTTACAAGTAAGATACATAATAAATCTTGAAGACTGTCTTTTGTGAATTGTGTAGAATTATAAAACATACACTAAAATATTGGTAAGAACAACTCTTTCAATTTTTTATTCTTTTATATGTATGTTTTTATTTTTTTGTGGAGTTTACATTCAATTTTTTTCCTTCTCTTTTCAGTGCTATAAATTCTGAAAATGGAGAAGCTAACAATATCAAAAACAGACTGACTGGAGACTGGGGGTCAGTACCTGATACAGCTAGATACTATAAAGTAAATTGATTTTATCCTTTTTTATTTTAATTTTTGATAAGACAACTTTGACTTTATTCTCCATTGTGTATAAAAATTGTATTATCAAATACCAGGGGTTAAAAGTTCACAATACACAGAAATATTTTAAAAAATGAAATTATATATCGATCATTTCAAAATTTATTCTTTAGTCTTTTGCATCCTTAGTTTTCATAGCGGTGAAAAAATAAGAAATGAGGAAAACTAGTGTATCCATTTTTTACAAGAAATTTTAATAAAACTTATCAGTATAAGCGAAAATACTGGTGCAAATTTTTTTTCAAATTTCATTGTTAATTTAAACTGATAATTAAAGGCTTTAGTTAATAGTAAAGAGTTGTGTAAGAAGAAATAAACTTTAAGATTGTTAACTTTAAAATATTTGTTATATCAATTTAATATACGTTTGTTCAGAGTTTTGCTTATATTCGTCGTATGACGCGAAACTCTGTATCTTTTAAGAAGGCCAGCTTTTTCATGTTGATTATTTGGTTTTATTTCGCTTCATTCACTCGCTCCTTCAAATATATAGATGAATGGTTAGAATATGCAAACATGTCTAGTGTAATCACATGCAGTGTGAATATTCCTTTCTTCCTTGTTCTGAATTATTATTGCTCAGTTTTACTCTTTCTTCCCTTTCTTACAAAGTGTCCTATTTCACAATGCCTCCTTGTCACAAGTCATGCTATATTACCTGACCATATACTTGCAGCTCAGAACTATTGCACTGTTATAAATCAAATTTGTTGGAGCATAAAAATATTGATTATGCATGTAATTATTTTGATAAATAAAATCTTGAATTAAACAATCAGGATGTGTAGCATTTTATAAAAGTGCTTATTTTTGATATATGTTTTTTGAAAGACCTTAAAAGTGCTTTCTTTCTTTTTTTCCTTTTCTTAAAGTGCTTTTTTTCTTTCTTTTTTTTCTTTTCTTAAAGTGCTTAATTTTCTGTCTTTGAAAATGAGATTTTTTTTTTGCAGTGTCAATTATCATAAAAAGCATGATTTTCCCAATTTCCTCTGCAATCACAAACAAGCTACTTGAGTTTTTAAAAACGTTTTTATATTTTGTTGATTTTATATGTATATAAATGAACTTTAAACAGTAGGAGGAAAAAATTTTATTACTTCACGTATGCTGATTTTAAAAATATTTTTTGAGTTCTTAAAAGGTGATTATTTTTAACTTGTCACAAATTGTCAGACTTTCTTATTACTGCAACATGATATTTTTTAAAAACATTTTTCATTTTATTGTTTGACTTTATTATCTATATCTCATCATCCTCATTTCTAGTCAAAAGGTGTGAAATGGGTTGCAATTGGAGATGAAAACTATGGTGAAGGTAGCAGTAGGGAGCATGCTGCTTTGGAGCCAAGACATCTTGGTGGCAGGGCTATTATTGTGAAGAGTTTTGCCCGTATCCATGGTATGTCTTAAGAGTTTAGGAAATTCTTTCATTTAGCTTATAATTTTTTTGAAAAATTAACTGCATATGTTTTTATTTTTTAGAAACAAACTTGAAAAAGCAAGGCTTGTTGCCTCTAACTTTCAATAATCCAAGTGACTATGATAAGATCCAACCCTCAAGTAAAATTTCACTATTGGGACTAAAAGACTTAGCTCCTGGAAAAGTGAGTATTTAAAAAAAATTTGGAATTTATTATTTAGCCATTAACCAAAATTTGTCCAGCTTTCAGACTATATCTTTTCAAATCTGGTTTCTGTTCTCCACATTTTCGATTTACTTAAATAAAATAAATGATTTTTAAAAAATGGGAATGAAAGATTGTGTTTTTTTTAAATAATAACTATGGTTTTATAAATCTGCTCTAAAAGATAAGCAAATTTAATGTTATGATTCACTATGATATTACTTCTCACAACCTGAATCTCTTGTGAACCCTATGAATTCCCAACCAGCTCTAAACAAGGATTTCAATTGTAAACAAAAGGAATAAATTAAATTAGTTTGTAACATCAGAAGATCTGTGCATTGAATGTCGTCAATCAACTGAATGCCCTGTATGCATCCGTGCTGCAATTTGTTCAACACAGCAACAAAAAAAAACCTTTTTTTTTAATTGGGGTAATTAATATTTTAAAATTAAAATTTAGGCAGAAAAAAGTTCCATATTTTAATTTTTTTTTAAATGTAATTTAGTTTTGGATATTAACCCCTTGCCTGCTGAGGAAAATGTTGAAGTTCATCCTGCCCCTCCTGTGCCACTGGTTTCCACGGAGGCACTCTTGATGTGCATTGGAAAAAAAAGAACAAGCTCTCTTTTCAATTAAATAACTGTTTACTTTTAAAGTAAAGAAAGAAATACAAAATTTAAAGTATACCACAGTGTAATGAAAAAATTGTCATGACTGTAAAAAAGTAACGTTATATTCTGAAGTTTCTGATCCTGAAGATGAAGGAAAATAGTTATCTAATTAACTCTCAAACATGTTTGTGCAAAAAAAAGTGTGTACTACTCAAAAGAAACCAGCAATAGCTGCACATCTGTGATTCACTTTCCAGAAACTCCCCCTCTTGTCTGAAATCCTTTGAAAACTCTCGGGGTCATTTTATTGCACTCCTAAGCCGTAGTTGTAATTTTACTGATAGTTGTGCAATGCATACTTCGGAAAGGCATACATATATATACGCCCGTGCCAGGCAAGGGGTTAATACAGAAATAATTAAGAATCTCTAAATTGAAGATTGGTTTAAATAAATAAATATGGGATAAGAGATTTTAAATTTGGTCTAAAAATATAGTAAATAGTGTATGTTATTAAAGTTTGCCAATTTCTATTTTTTTTGTAGCCTGTGAAGTGTGAAATCAAACATGAAGATGGAAAAACTGAAACTATTACTCTGAATCACACATTGAATGAATCACAAATTGAATGGTTCAGAGCTGGAAGTGCACTCAATCGTATGGCAGAACTGAAGACTCACTAAGAACTTTTTAACAATTTCCCACCCTTTTTTAAAAAAAGAAGCAGTTTAATTGTGATATGTTGTACATTAGTTTCAAATTCTAGGCTTTTGTCTTTCTGTACAAATCGTATTTATTAGTATTTTTTATGTAAATTTGAGATTGTCTAGTCAAATCAAATTTGGCTGATGATTAAAAGGAAAAAAAAAAAAGATTGAGTAACATCTGTAGATCTAAGAGCAGCATTCAAGTTAAATAATTGATTCTTGTTTTATATTCGCTTAGTGGACATTATTAAAGATTTTATTAAAAAATGTTGTTGTGCTTTGTTATTTTTCCGTTTGATAGTTAAAAATTCCTTTATACTTAATTGTAAAAAGAAAAATACTGCTAAATAAATATTTTAGAAATTTAATTTTTTCTTAATGGGAAAGGTTATGCAAACCTTTATATTTTTAGCTTGATGTTTCTTCGAAACTTTCAACCTCAAGTGAATTAAACTTAAGATTTATTTTTCGTACTATAACTGCTGACAACTGCACAATTTAAAAAATTCATAGCCCAAGTTTTGACCATCTTAAGCCGCAAATCAGGTATGGATCAAGTCTGGTTCAGTTTAATGAGCGAAAAAGACAAAAAAAATAATTTAACTTTTTTTAGAGCACAATAATTAATTGAGGTAATAAAGGATTAACCAGATAAATTTATAGTATAAATTGTGNAAATTCTCTATTCAAATCATAATCACAAATCTCATTTACACACTTAAATACAAAATTTAAATTCAAACTGAAAGCGTTGCAACGCACGCAGGGTACAGCTAGTTTATAGTATAAATTGTGAGGAAAAGCATCATAATTTTATTATATAGTTACATTTAATATATTTTTTTAAAAATTTCTTGATATCATTTTACATGATATAAACTGTCTAATTCTTTTAATTACAGGATACGAAATTGAGCAATATATCAGCTGAATGTTTCCTGGCAATTCTAAATTAAAAATATTTTTTTGAATTTTACTTTTCTAAAATGCAAACCTTTCTTTTTATACTAAAAATCTGTATTGATATCCTTGTTTATTAATTCTAAAATCTGATTTTTTTTTTAAATTATACATTATTTCAATTAAAAATGAATTAGAATAAATTTCATTCAAAGCAATACATTTTTAAGACTTACTAATTTTCTTAGTGGAAAAAGCTAAAGACAAACTTTAGTTATATTTCAGGTATATGTTTTATCATTTGTGTATGTGTATACGGTAGTAAGTCTCTTACCTTAAGTTTGATAAGTTATAATGGGTAATAAGTTTTAATATTTATAAATATTTTAATCAGTGTTTCCCCTAACTGTTTTTAGAAGGGCTGTCTGCTATTGATGCTCCCTCTTTGCCCTTTTTTCAAAAATAAGCGCCATCCGTTAAAAGCACTGGCTTTTTATTCACTTTCCAATTTAAAAAATTTATTCACTGTTTAAATAATTACAAACTGGTGAAATTATCTGTGTTTAGTTTAATTCTGAAAGTAATTTAAAAATTATTTTTATGTATGCTTTAAAAAAAAAAAAAACTTGAAATGTTCATTTTTTAAAACTTTCAATTTAAATTATAGAAGGCTTTCAAGTTTCTTATCATTAACACTTTTTTTTTAAGGTTACTTTTTTTGAAAAATAAAAAAAGTCAGTGATTGACTTTTAGCATGCCTTTAATTATTTTTTATAAACTACAATTTTTTTACTTTGATAATGAGTAGACAGCGGATAATATGCAATTGCATACGTGCATATGCACTTGCATATATTAGCACTTTTTGCCATTTGTGCATATAAATGCATAAAAAGGTATATTTGCTCTTCATATTTTCAGCATTTTATGGCTTTTCCCTCCTAAAACCATGTCACTATTCTTTTTATCTTAGCATAAGGAACGCTTTAAATTTTGTTTTGTCGTTCTTTATCACCTGAAAGGGTCAGCTGTATTGATGTTGCTGGAGGTGATTGCAATCATGTGTAAAAGATGTAGAAATGCTGTGTGTGTCGGGAAGGGGGGTACAAAGGGCCCACCCAAACAGACATTCGTCATAGAAACCTCAGAAAGGGATGGTCAGATATTCTATGAAGGGATGTCTTTTCCTGGAATAAATAATTGTCAATCTGTGTGGGAAAAATAAGGCTTCTGTTGTAGGTAGAAAATGACCTCCCTTTCCTGTGATTGATTAGTTAAAAGGTGGAGTGAATACATTTTCGGAGAGAGCTGCTATTCTACCATATTTCGATAGTCCATCTGATAGATAGATAGATAGTTTCGACATCCATCAGTTGAATACGTAGTTAGTGAAGCTTCGAATGTGACTTTTAACTGCTTAATTTTATAATATTCCAAAAATTAAGTCGACTAAATCAAATTTAATGAAGACATGGATTTCGGACTATGGAAAGGACTTACGACCGATGGGAAATAGTATTTTATGTGATTTGTCAAAAACACATTTCCTATGAAAAAAAGTACCAAATGGATCAACATATAAAGACTAATGCTCACTCCGCGAAGAGAAAGCAGAATACAAAAGGATTTGTTCAAAGTTTATTAACTATTCCTGTTCAAGCAGCTAAAAAGAAAAGTGATTTTTCTAGTCATTTATGCAAAGCCTTAGTAAGCAGCAATATTCCTTTAAAAAAGTTAAATAATCCAAACTTAAGACAGTTTTTAAAAAAATATTGTACCAATCAGATCATTCCCGATGAATCTACTTTAAGAAAGAACTACCTTCAACCGATATATAACGAAGTACTGGATGATATTCGACGAGATATTGGAGATGGCCTTATATGGATTGAAGTCGATGAGACGACAGATAAGTGCGGTCGCTACATTGCTCATTTTATTTGTGGAAAAATGGATAATGTTCCTACTCGACCACATCTTCTAGCAAGCAAAGCCCTTGAAAAAGTCAATCATTCAACCATAGCAAGATTTGTCAATGATTCTATCAGATTATTATGGCCTGATAGAGATGGTTCTGAAGATGTTTTGATTTTTGTCAGTGATGCCGCTCCGTATATGGTCAAATTTACAGCAGCACTGGAAATTTTTTATNGGTTTGTCAATGATTCTATCAGATTATTATGGCCTGATAGAGATGGTTCTGAAGATGTTTTGATTTTTGTCAGTGATGCCGCTCCATATATGGTCAAATTTGCAGCAGCACTGGAAATTTTTTTTATCCCAGAATGCTTCATATTACATGTTTGGCTCATGCTGTTCACTGACTGGCTGAGACTGTTCGAGAAGTATTCTCCTCTGTAAATGATTTAATTTCTAGTATCAAGAAAGTTTTTCTCAAGGCACCTGTGCGCATAAAATTGTATAAAGATAATGTATCCTGATTTGCCCTTACCTCCACAGCCTGTGATAACTAGGTGGGGTACATGGATTGAAGCTGCACGTTTTTACGCTAATAATTTTGATGCAATGAAGTCAGTTGTAGATGCAATTGACAGTTCCTGTGCTTCTTCAGTTTATGTCACAAAAGAATTACTATAGGATTGCAGAAGGACTTGGCCATAATTGACACTCACTTTTCTTTCTTAAGTGGAGCAATAACAAAGCTCGAAACACGAGGTCTTCCCCTGGCTGAGGCCATAACCGAAATTGAAAAAAATCAACAGTGCATCAATGCTCTTCCAGACTCAGTTGGGAAGAAAGTAAAAGAAAAATGGTGTTTCGTTCAAAACAAAAATTCGGGTTTTGCAGCAGTGAAGAAGATAAATGATTTTCTTAATGGAAACGGAACTGAACTTCCAGAGAAAGTAAAACCAATGAGTACGAAATTGTATAAGTTTTGTCCAATAACATCGGTAGACGTGGAGAGGTCATTTTCTGCTTTCAAAATAATCTTTGATGACCGACGACATCAATTCACCCTTGAAAATTTGGAAAAACACTTAGTTGTGTATTGCAACAAAAATTATTCAGTTTAATGAAATCTTTTCGGAAAATGCGATGATTTTTCTTCTCATTTATCATACTTCAGTTTTAGGCTTTTTCTTCAGAAATGTGTAGATTCAATAAGAAATAGTTTGATTTTCTTCCTTTTAACAAAAAATGTTTTGGCTGTGTTTGTTGGGAAAAGTAAGTCGTAGTATTTAAATAAGTTGAACTTTTAATTTCTATTTTAAATGCATATTTCTAGTTTTAAGAGCATATATTCAAGTTTTTTAGTGCATATTTGCATGTATATTTTGTCCGTTTTTTAGTGCATATAATCCGCTGTCTAATAACAGGGTTGCCACTCGACATGGAGATCAGGGAAAACCTGGAAAATGCAGGGAATTTTGATTTTTTCCTTGGAAACTGGGAAAATACAGGGAATTTTGTTTCTTATTTTTGTCTTTTAAAAAATGGTACCCACTAAAGCGTAATCTATGGGATATTTAGCCATGATATTCTAGCTATACTAAACTATTTCACTTACTATAACATTATTTAAATATGTTCAGCTGTTTTCCCACCAATTAAAACTAATAAATATAGTTAGCCCTATGTAGCTCACAAAAGAGCACAGTAATTGTTGTTTCCTTTTAATATATTGTGTATAATAGTACAGGGAAAACACAGGGAATTTTTTTTCCAGATTTGAGTGGCAACCCTGAATAATGAGTTAGAAATATTTTTTGAAATACACATAAAAAGTATAAGAAGGTAATTTAAAAATTAACTAGGAGGCTCCGCCCCCTGCTTGCTAACGCTCGCCAACCCCCGAGAATTGCTACGCAATCCTATGTGGTTCACGCAGTGAACCATGGCTCGCTGCGCTCGCTCGCCAATGAACACAAATATATTATCATCAAAGACATAGTATTTTATCATCAAAGACATAGTATTATCATCAAGTAGAAGAATTCTAACTTATGT